GATACCGGAGCTGAAGGAGGATATCCGCATCCCTGATTACTGTTGCCTAGGCGACACAGAGGAGGAGCACATGACGGTGAACGCATGGTTTGGACCCGGAGGTACAGTGTCCCCCCTTCACCAGGACCCCCAACAGAACCTCCTCGCACAGGTGACATCACAGCTCACTGATATTAAGACGTTAAGAATATACACTGAAATTTGCATTCATGGTTTTCACTCCTACTTTCCTATCATGCGTGCCATTTTTAGGACCATTCAAGATTACATTTTGTTTTGGATTGTAGATTACTATGGCAACAGTTATTTTTTTGAGCACTCTGAAACCCACAAATCAGTGAGTGACATATTGAGTAAATGAAAGAAGTGTTATATAAGCAATATGGTTTGTCAATGCACAAAAATACACACAGTCACTAAACCTCCTGCAAAGCCCTAGATAAGGGATAAAAGCACTTACTGAGCTGCAAAATGTCCATTGTTTTTTTTGTTTTTGTTTTTTTTTGTCATCTCACAATAACAAAAGATTAGGTTGTCACGATAGTAAAATTTCAAACTCAAAATGAATAGATTTGATACTCAATACCGATTAAAAGTCTCTTTCTTTAGACAACAGAGTGTGATTTTCATTCTATTGTAAGAAATCATAGTACTTTACCTTCTTTCTGTTTACCTTTTATATTGCTGTCTAATATCTGTGTAATCCCTCAGTCGTCCAGTTAGTAATACACAGCTAACTATATGACGGCTAAGTTGGGCCCAAGTTTCTAAATAGTTTCAAACATTTGGATACTTGGATCTCCATTCAAATTCATGTTTTGGTGATATTTTTTTTCAGTTTTTTAAACATCTTTGTTTGGACATGGCATTCTTTCAGTGCTATTCTGTTTCATTCTTTTATAAAGCTGCTCATAATTGGACAATAAAAAGGCATATCTGTAGCAATCGAAACATGACTAAACAGCTGTTGTGTTAATACCCCTACATCTGTGCCTGGGACTAATCAAACATAATTAGTTTGAGAGAAATCGAATCAAACAATGTGTCTTTTTGCTTGGATGGATGTCGCTGTACTTTAGCTATAATGACAATTCTAGTTCATGTCATAAATTCATCATGTCATTGGGTTGTATTTATCACTTGGGACTTTGAACATCTCTACATCTCCAGGTCGTGGGGAGCAAATACATTCGCCTTTACTCCCCTGAGCATACAGACAAGCTCTACCCTCATCAATCATCTCTGCTCTACAATACTAGTCAGGTGGGATTGACACTGCTTAGAGATAATATGCGTCAGGCCACAGAAATGAATGCAGTATTTCCAATTTTGTGCTTCCCTTTTGCCGCAGGTGGATGTGGAAAACCCAGATATGGAGCGGTTCCCTGAGTTTACCAAGGCGCCGTATCTCGAATGTGTGCTCCGACCTGGAGACGTGCTGTTCATCCCTGTTCAACACTGGCACTATGTCCGCTCCCTAGAACTCAGCTTTTCAGTCAGCTTCTGGTGGACTTAGTCATAGATGTGAACTTTTCTAATAATAAAAAGTACAAAATCTAAATGTTTCTGCATTTACTGATACTCTCAAACACATTTGAATTGGACATTTACGCTCAATTAGGAGATTATTTAAACTGCCCATATTACACAATTTTCTGATCTGTTACAGTGTTGTTTCCTTTTCAAAATATTTAGTTTTGTTTCAGTAACATGTTTAACAAACAAATCTTACATAATAGGAGTTCTTCTCTCTCAAACTGTAAGCAGTCTATTCCACTTCATGATGTCAAGTGGTCATACAGGAAGTGCTCCACAGTGTTTTTAAACTTCATACATCTTCTCTAGGATCATTTGGATAATTTAATCTCAGAAATTTCCAATCTCTACTGAACAAATGGCAAAAGGATTTGTTAACCTGAAACCAACGCTTCATGACATCACAAGGTGGAACAGAGATGTTGAGTTTTGGAGATGCAGACAGACTAATAATACAGGATTATTCAAACATGAGTGAATAAAACAAAACACAACTCCAGGTATGTTTTCATTGAAGTGATAACATTCTAACATGGCTTAAAACTCTATCTATTTTTCATTATATAGGACCTTTGAAGTGGAATACAAATAGGAAACACACAGTGTTGAAAGTTTCAGTTCAGTTCATGTTCTTAGACTGAATTTTTAGACTGAATCTAAACTGAATAACAATAGCTTTAAAAGTGAAAGCCAAAATGCCTCTTTTTCATGCAAAACACATTCAGTAACTTCTTAATAAAACTGTAATTATCAGATTATTTGTCAAACAGCATACCTTTACTCCTATTTGAGGATTATATTTTCCACTGTAACTGCTGTACAGGTACAGTAAGTCTTGTACTAGATTTTGTGCCTCATATAATATTTTGTCCTCGGGTTAGCTTGAACTGAGAAATCTCTTTATGTCAAAAAAGTTAAAAGTACTTTTTGTACTTTTTGGTCTGAAAACTTAATTCCTTGAAATAGTTTTTCCTTTGTTCTAGTAGCAAGTGAACAATGAGCACACTGAGCTCGGTAATTAGTTTAGTTGGTTCTTCTCAAGAATACAACAAAAGGTACACAACAAAAGCTATTCTTCTCCACATTCAAACTACTTAGTACTTTAGTACTTTAGTACTTGAAGTCAAAGATACTTCTAGTCTTTAAATTCCAGTAAAAACTACTTCAAAAATAAAGTAAGACAAAATTGCCTTGATTACTTCACTTTCCACTATTCAATTGTTGGTGATGGTTGATTTGAGTTGTCATTGATTTAAGTAACTATGACAGGTTAGACTGCTCATTTGACTAAAATACATTCATTTTACAAAAAAAACAAACAACAAACAAACAAAAAACATTTTGCCCCCTATTTTGGCAATAAACATGTCATTTTTTAGATTTTAGATCTAAACAGATTTTACTACCTGGTTGGGAATCACACTAGGGTATTCTGTAACTGTTATTGAGCAAACATGCTGTGTACAGTAAAACAAAACTCCTCTAATGTACACAAAGATTATGATTTGACAAATAAAAATAAGGAAACAGCTTTATTTTGTTGAAATCATGTTTAATGTATCTGAATGTGTTTCTTTTGTAAATTGTGCTGAACTTCTGGATAGTGTTATTCTTACTGTGATGGCATCAATATTGATCTCTCTAAAATAGAACTCTTTAGTTCCTGTAACATATTTTTCAACTTTTTCCCCACAAACTGATTGGTGTAAAATTATAATTTATATTTACAACAGGTTTTATCCCACCAAATAAAGTCAGGATTAGAGAATCCTGAAGAGAGTCATGTGCACTTTAAACACTTTGATGGGACTATTCCACAATAGCATCTCATTGTATCCTGTCTGACAATATTCAAACCCCACTCATTCCTCCCACTGGTCGTTTTCCAATCAAGTACACTAATTAGCAAGTATTTTGGCAATGTAACACAATTAAATAGACCATACACAACATTATATTTGATCAGCTTTTCAGCCAAATTCTCTGCAAGTTTAAATTGGTGTTAAGGGAAATAAACACAGCAAAAGGAGGCCTGTTGTAATTGTGTTAAAGATCTAACAAGAACGGAGAATTAGCTGTGCTGGAGTTTCTCTGGCCCAGAAGAGAACCAACTTTGAGCACAATGCAGTTATGAAGGAAAAGGTTGTACAAGTGAATTCAGCCTCAAAAAATGTATTACTGTAATTTAGCTGCAAACTATTACAGAGTGAAAGAAGAAGTAGCTACTCCAAAAAGTAATTATTTCAAAATAGCATCACTGGTTCTGTAACCGTACTCAAAAATATATAAAAGCATTGTTCAACCATTGAAGTAATTATCTCTTAACATTAAAGGTCCTATATTACACAAAATGGATCCTTGTGAGGTTTCAAGTTAACAGCTAACTCTTATGTTTAGTTCAGTAAAGTTAGGCAGTTCCAGGACTGAAATCATCCAAATGATTCTAGTGAAGGTGTATGGAGTTTAAAAACATAGTGGCGTACTTCCTGTATTACCACATGACATCACAAAGTGGAACGGAGCATATTGAGCTTTGGAGAGTGTTTTCCATATGAGGGAAGAACTCACTATGCACTGTGGGAGATAAATAGATTTGCAGGATTTGTGTTAAACAAAACACAACTCCATGTATGGATTTGATGACGAAACAACATTATAACATCAGAAAATGTTGGTATAGATATATGCAAAATAAATAGTATATTGCTTCTAACATTGTCACGGACCTCCAAAAAGACTTGATCTTACAGTATTTTGTTGTGTTTCATGCTTTTTTGTGTTTCATGTTATTGTCTATTCACACTTGTGGGATAATTTCAACCAAGTAAATTATAAACTCACATTAACACGTTTGTAGCCAATTATAATGTGGATTATTATTACCAAAAAAAACATAAATATATGAATTATGTCAACACTTTTCACCCCTACCTCAAACTATACACTCACTATCCCTACTTCTATGACTTGGTTTAAAAAAAAAAAAGTTCTCAAAGTTATTAACTAAAATGCTGTTTCATATAAAGTAAAAGTACATATTGCCTCAGTGAATACGAACAATGCTACCTTTAGTTTTGGCTTGCTTTTCTAAAAGTGTGACCCTTATGAAAGCTGGTAGACTATAATGCTGAGTTAATGCTGCGTTCTCCAATTTGCCGATCAGTGCTTTGTTTGTCATTTAAGTGGCACAATTGACTTAAGATCAGGCAAAAGTGCTTACTCTCATTATAATGTGATCAATATTCAATTACCAGTGAAGTAATGTGGTACCCGTGGGCCTATAACCTTTTCTCTCCCAACTAGAGCTCCACTTTTGATTAATGACAGAGTAGATTTTTGCATAAATCTGGTGACTGCGCAGTAAGTACAGTCTCCACATGCTGTTTTTGCACTGTTTTAAAAATCAAGACTTGACATTTCTCTTAAATAGCATATAACAGAAACAAGCCAGGATATGCACAATAGTGATTGACATGTCATTTTACATAAGAGGTGCTTTCTGACAATGCAAAAAACACAACAATTTTCAGAGCACATGCAGAGTAAATTTGTTTCCCCAGCCCCAGCAACAGTGCGTGATTTAAAAGCTGATTTTATTAATGAAGAGAAGATTGCTTCAAATTATGCATAAAAAGTTGAGATTGTCAGGATTATTTTAGTTTCCTGAAGGTTAATGAGTGACACAGAGTTATTATCTTGTATTATTATTATGCACCAAACCTTAAATTAGCAGGTCTAAGAGTAAGAAAAAGAACATGTGTTGTTTTGAAAAGATTACTGTCTGCTGTAGTGCAAATACAAGAAAGTCAGCAGTGTTTAATACTTAGATAAACCACTATATTCAAAGTTTAAATTAGGCTTTAGAGTGAATCTTTACACTAATCCAGCAGAGGATTATGACAGACCAAATATACAGTAATTTAACAGTGGGTAGGAGTTTCTACTTTTCATTAGTTTTCCTAATAGACTTAATAAACAAAATCTGATAATGAGAGTTTAAGGAACCACAATTTAAAAACAAATGACTATAATGCATATAATGAAAATACTGCCAGTTAATAATGTTTCTGAAATAGATTTAAAAAGTGTTACTGATAGTGTGTGGTTGGTGGACTTTGTAACTTTTCTGGTGCATGGGCGGTTCTTCTCCATGGAGATACTGCTACTGTTACTGCTTTGCATGTTCCATAGTATAACCTATTTAATAATAGATGTTTCATTTCTCAAAAATACATACAGTAGATGCATACATTTCTAGATACATACATTTTATAAAACATTTTTGACAGTGAGTATGATTACCTCTCCACTGATCTCACCAGTGACTTTGTCTTGTGGCCTCACTTTCTTGTTTCTAAGGTGATAGACATGTTTATTGCCATACTGTGGAACATTACAGGCCACACAACAACATCTCTATGGAACCAGTAAGTGGCTAAACCTTTATCAGGAAAATTACATACAGCATATTTGTAATACATTTTCATAATTCTTTATGGTCAGTAGTCACTTCATAGCTCATCAATCCCCATAAATTTACACAGCACCACTTTTTGACTTCTTTTGCTACAATATTATGCCTTGATAGATAAAAAAAACAACACATTATAAAGTTATACAAAGTACAGCATCAGCAGGTTGAGTTGTCCTATGATAAGTATAATAAGTCTGTGTTTAGTATTAATACTCCTGTAAATCTGCGGTGAAGTTCTGCATCCTCTCCACCATAAAGAAACACAGAGTCCCAGAGAAGCCCAGGACAACCATGACCAGGAGCTGCCACATCAGCAGGAGGTGCCCGCCGTAGAAGAACGCCACGGCGGCGAAAACAGACTGTGAACGCACAAGATTCAGACATCTTCAGTTTCCAGTGGTTACATTTACATGACCAGTAAAGAAAAGGTAACTATCAGATAAAATAATAATTACATCTGATTTTAGATTCTAGAAATTCTAGAAAAACAATGTATCAGTAAATCAATGTATTTTTTCTTTTTCTCATTGCCACATTAGTTTGCCCTTTATTGCATATTTTTTCTCGTCAAAACACGCAAGTATGTGAACAATCAGAAAGAAATCACAATACTCAAATCAGATGTAATGGTTTATATGACATTTCAATAGTCAGATGTTTTTGAAAAAACAAAGACAATGTTAAGAATCTGATCTTCCACTTGTAGTCATAAGGGGTGATAATCTGCCTTGGAACATGTACTGATTGTATATTGATTAGTCATGAGGTTAGATCAAATGTCCTTTCTTATGCAACTGTCTCTTACTATCTGTACTTGATGCAGTACACTAGGGTGTAGTGATGGGACAAGACACAAGAGAACACAAGATTTTGTCATAAAAAGGAAATTGTGTGATTGGGCTCACAATTTTGGCCTCACACTTTTTGATTTACTTTATTTTGCTCTGGCTACGATGTGGCTTCGGAAAATGATGTAACCCAGCCAAAAATCCCATGAGACGATTTTCCACATGTGTGCACAATCTTGTTTCAATTTTATCTTGTGAGATCTTGTGGCATGAGCTCCCTACTAGCTTCTGATGCTGTGGCAAGATTATTAGGATTGCATGACATAATCTTCCTATTACAACACACTACTCACAAATAAGATATACAGAAACTGGAACAATCTACTTCAATTGTACTGCTAAAACTGAACAAATACACAAAATATGTTAAATGAAATTTAATATATTTAAAGAGCCTATAATGTGTTATTTCTGATCTATGTTATAATGTTATTTCTTTATCAAAAACATGGAGTTGTGTTTTGTTTCATTCACACGTTTAACACACAAATCTTGCATATTTAGGCTGAAATCTTCTCTCAAACTGAATAAAGCTCCACCTTGTAATATGATAATAGTAGAAGTGCTCCACTGTGTTTTTAAACTCCATACACCTTTAAATTACAACTGCATGCCATCACAAAATACAACAGATCATTTTGAGTTTTGGAAATGTAGACAAACTAATAATACTCAAGCATGTGTGAATGAAACAAAACACAACTCCAGGTATGTTTTTGATTAGGTAACAACATTCTACTTCTACTATTCTTCAACTTTTCTGGTGGAGGGGCCACTACCTGCTTGTCTCCATGGAGATGTTATTACTTTTCCTAGAATGTTCCACAGTATACATTAAACCTATCTATTGCAAGGGAGACAAGCATTTTATAGCACTACTAATGTCATACCATGGAACATTCAAGGCATAGTAATAGCATCTCCATGGAGACAAGCAGGTAGCGAAACTTCCACGAGAAAAGTTGCACAATGCACTTTTAGAGCTCACAAGAGGCAATTTACTGTGGGACCTTTAAATATATTATATTGTCCTTGGGAAGTTCATCCCGATTTGAGTTATCCATCCATTGTTTTTTGTCAGGAATACCTACCTCGAGATGTATTTTCATTTAAGTTTTCTACATCTTCATCTGTATCATCATCATTACTTTCCATTTTCAGCTCATGACTCAGACTCTTCTCTCAAACTTCACACACACAGTCCACAGGTTACTGCGCTGACAAAGTGATGAAGAGGACCCCTCATGTAACCACGGATATTATCTGAGACAGAGCCTTAGCCTATTGTATCTTTTCATCAACACTTTTCTAGACGTGTTTTATCCTTGAACCAGACCACAGTCTCAATGATGTCTGTTTTTGAAACGCTAGTTCTGAGTACTTCTAACTATTCAATAGATATAATATTTAATTTTGCATTAATAATTGCTATGGTTCATTATTCATCACCCTGAAACTCGTGGAGCTCAAGGTGTGGAGCTTTATTGACGAAAATGAATTTTGGTGTGATTTGTGAAACTAAATAAGTTACGCATTCTAAAGCATTTTTAGCTCTATATTTGCTTTATATTCAACAAACGCATTACACAGAAATAACTTGTTAACCAGTTTCATTAGCTGTGTCTATTAATTCCAACATATCATGGATGACAGTAAGCATATATTGGTGCTTCAATTCAACTATTAAAATAAATTACTCATGTATGAATTTCACTATATCCCTTTAACTAAATAAATCATTTCACTGGTCTACACATTTTTATTCTACTTTTTGGTATGCTAATTAGTTGACCTGAAAACAAACAATTAAATCTTGAAACCAGACACTGACCTTGTTGTTTCAGTTTTAAAAGAGATTCAAAGTTATTTTTTTATTTTTTATTTTACAAAACTGAGCTTAAAAGGTGCATTATGCAACTTTTCTGGGGCAGGGCCCACTACCTATTTGTCTCCATGGAGATGTTATTGTATTGCCTGGAATGTTTCTTGGTATGACATTAAACATCCATCTAGCATTTATTCATTACGGTTGTTTCTATTGCTCAAAAATACAATTATTCCTTCTGTGAACAGAGGCGACTCTCCACAGATCTGAACTGTAATGCTGCATAATGTTGTAACCTACTTGTTTCCCTTGTGATAGGCAGGTTTAATTTATACTGCGGAACATTCTAGACAAAAAAATAACATTTCCATGGTGCAGACCCTCCACTAAAAATGTTACACAGTGCATCTTAAATTCATCTATGACCTGCTCTACCAACAACAGGTGATATTATGGTCATTTTGGAAATTACCTGGATGAATTTAAAGATGGCAAAGGCTGGTGTGCTCTGCTCGGCATAAACGCGCCCTAAGATACTGTAGAGCTGCGTATTAAAGCAGCTGTCCCCGAGTCCAAGGAGGAAGCTACACAGCAGGGCAATGGACACGCTGGAAAACAAAAGTATGAACTCATTAAACTGGGGAAAGGGCAATAATTCAGACTGAAAATAACATGGAATTTTGACAAGTTATGCATGTAGACTAGGACTGCAGGATTCATTGTTATTGAATACAAATCTGAAACTTTGAACAGAGTTCTACCATTAAAATATAAGTCCAAATCTAATCCTAATATTTTGTCAGAAATAATTATAATAAATTTGATCAGTCCTAAAATCTACTTTTAAGAATAGGGTTATTGCATTACTACATATGTGTTTAGTTGAGTAAAATAATTTTTTAGTGAGAAAGCTCTTACAAAAAACAAATATTCTATTGCTTATCATGTCTATATGTTACCAATGGATTGTTTTCAAGAAAGACAGATGGTTTTCTTCAATTGTAATTTACAAATTAATTTAAATAAGTAAATGTGTTTTTGTTTTTGTTTTTAAATGTATGGTATGGTGTATTATACTGTCTAAACGATGATTCATTCATTTGTTTATTTTTCCTGAGAATATGCAAATGTACATTTGTTTTGAAATACCAGGATTTGGATTAACTGGAAGACTTTCTTCTTTTAAAAATCTGATATTTGATAGCATATCTCATGCTCAAGTACACATTTAACAACTCTACCTGAATGCAAGTGAAAGTAGCATAAAGTAAAAGTTTTATAATATAAACCATAAATATTTATCACCCGGTTATCGCTGGATATGAAAAATGCATACAGTGTCACAAAAACATAAAAACAAAATGTTATTATTCAGTATAAAACCGTACATCACGCAACCAGGCCTATGAGAAATAATCATATCACCACAGTACCTGGGAGACAGATAGGGGCTCATTTGAGTGGTTGTTTTAAAGACTACAGGAGCGTCAGCCGGGATGTTCAGGAAGATCAAATAAAATGCAACAAAATGCACCACCATTCCCAGGAAGACCACTGAGGTACGGCGGAAGCGATTGTTCTTGCACAGTAGCCCGAACAGCCCTCCTCCTGACATAAAAACACATTAAAGATTCACTACAGACTCTAAATCAACTGCACCGAATCAAACAGGACTTACCCACGATTTCTCCAACCCCTATTACAATCCCCGAAATCCCAATCAAACCCTTGGCAGCGCCTCCGAAGTGTGTAGTTGCTCCAATGCAAGTCCCATACACGCCACTATAAAAGGAGAGCTCCAACCCTTAGGAGGCAAGAGCATAGACTGTTCAGGACTGACAAAATACTCATTATATTCAAATATATGTGTGTTGTACTCACCACTGTACGCCATGCAAGGGCTCAAGAGGACTATGGTCTTGGTTTTCAAAAGTTGTAAGATGGTTTCTGAGGAGCACATTTAAATTGCTAATTACTAAAAAATAGATTCAAAGTACAGTGGCTATACTGTATGTGCGGATGGGATTATGACTATGACAAATAGCAAAGGATGTTGGCGGAATGTACAGTGTCAAAATTAGCCAACCATTCCAGTCACGCTCACCTTTTTTGTTCAAAATCAAACACCTAAAGAGGACCATGAACACTCGTATTGATCTCTAACACTAATGCTAATGAACATTCCGCCATAGACATACATGAAGTACACCTCCAGTAATAATGGGTGACTATGACTACAGTAGACATACCCCAATATTAAACAAACAGACCACTTCACCCAAGCCTGATAAGTGCATGTAATCTGATGCAACAAAACTGTATACTACTTGCATGTTGATATTTATTTAAATACTTTAATTTGTTATCTGTAATCTGTAATTCATTCACTCAAATATGATTTTATATTAAAGTTGCACATTGTGCTGGGAGACTCTCCAGGGAGGCCTCGTGGTGTCACTGTCTGTCTCCATGGAGGTAGATCAGATTACAGTCATATTGGGGGACATTCGAGACAAAGCAATAGCATCTCCATGGAAACAAGCAGTTTAACCAGAAAAGTTACATAGTGCATCTTCAAATTAATAAATAAATAAATAATTAACTTGGGACACCCAGTCATCCAGGCATCACAATGTGTCCCTACATGTCAAACTCACTCAAAAATAACAATTCCATTTGCTAATAGACCTTGCACTTTAATATCACCTCACACCTAAGTATGATTATGTTGTTATGCTGATTGTTGTATACGGGGCAAAAACTCGACAGACAAAGAGTGATTTGACAAACAACTCCAGGCTGGAAGCAGGTGCAAGAGCAGGAGCCTTTCTGCTCCACAAACACTGATAAAATCTCAAATAAACTCTGCACAGCCAGTGTCAGTGTACTCTCTTGTAACGCCTGCAGATTTTATCCACATAAAAGCAATTTTAGCAAAAGGAAAAACCAAAGACCTGGGAGTGCTTTGGAGTTTTAGAAATCTAGCAATGAAATGAGAAAGACCACAGGTTACCAACTGAAGAGATTGTGTTTTTGAATGGATTTAGTAAGAAAACGTTCCTACAGAAAAAATATGAAAGGTGTGGTTCCAAAAATACAGTGTGCATCCTCTTTTCACTGCAATGGAAACATCAGTGCAAGTTTAAATTAGAACTATTTTATTAAAGTTTTGTGTGACTGGATATGTGCTCCACTGTTTAGTCTGTGGTTAAACTATTGTTTAAAGGTGTGCTCAGGTTTGGACCAGGATTGGGCCCAATTTAAAGGTCCTATATTACACACCATTGTACTCTGAGCTTTAAGCTATGTTATAATGCTGTTGACTCATCAAAAACATACCTAGAGTTGTGTTTTGTTTCATTCACACATGTTTGAGTAACCTTTTATTATTAGTCTGTCTACATCTTCAAAGCTCAAAATGCTCTGTTCCCCTGGGGATGTCATGTAATTGTACTTCTCAAGTTAACAGATGCCTTTAGTTCAGTAAATTGGCAATTCCAGATCTCAAATGATTCTAGTGAAAGTGCATGGAGTTTAAAAACACAGTGGAGCACTTCCTGTATTACCACATGACATCACAAGGTGAAACAGTTTTCTGTTTGACAGAAGAACTCAGCCTAAATATGCAGGTTTGTGTGTTAAATATCTGTCAATGAAACAAAACTCCTTGTCTGTTTTGATGAGGAAACATTATAGCGTAGATCAGAAAAAGTCCTTAAATAGATTTGGTGTGATCCTGGTCTAGACTTGGTTTAGTTAGGGTTAGGGTTTAATAGCAACTTGGTTTGGATCCAGTTATAATCTAGTTAACCCTCAAATCTATCTTGGTTAACTTAATGTCTAATTATTTACTGAAATCCTGGTTTAAACCTGTATGAGCCTTGGTTGAATTTAAGACCACATTTGTATTTACCACCATTAACCAAACATATTTCTGGGTTAGTCCTAATGCACTAGTGAGATTTCAGTCCTTTATGAAGTTATATTTTCTGAGGTAGTAGTTGGTGTGAAAAGTTTGGAGTACTGTTGCTTGAGGGAGAGTGGGTCCCAATTGGATTTAAGATGCATACACTTCTGAGCACACCCAGATTAATTACATGTGGATGCATAATTAATGTACTCCATGCATACTGATGCAGAGTTTAAATGAGTCCATCCCACACAGACTAAACAACACACAGATTAAACCTTTAAATGTTACACTGACAGATAAGAGGCACTTACTGAACTCAGCCTTGGCGTCTTGCATTGCACTGTTGGCTCTGTGCTTATATCTGGATAACAAGAAAGCTTTTTATTAGTTTTCATTGTAAATTGATTTTCATTGATTTTTTAACCAATTGTCTGATGAAATGTTGAAAATGTATGAACCTTACATCTGTGTCCTGTTAACTACTATAAACTATAACATCAAAATGAAGGATACTAAAATTAAGGAGGTGAAATCATCCCAATATTGTTAAAATTACAAAATATTTTCAATTATTTAGTGCTTATCACGACACTCAAAGAGGCTTTACAAAACAAATATTTAAACAGTCAAAAGAGCAATAGACAATAATTAAAGAATAAGTAAAGATAAAAAATAAATCATATAGAGAAGAATCGCAAATCTAGAGTGAGAGCCTTAACATTTTATTTGTTACAGATCTAATAAAGATATTTGTGATTTTAACTCAGGATCTCTCAAAGGTGCACTGTGTAACTTTTTAGTGGACTTGGCCTGACACCATCAGGCCAGGATAGGAGGTTATATGCTCACAGTCAGAATGCATGCAAGGTATTTTTTCAGCATTATCACATGGCTTAAAGATCATAAGAGTCAATTATGCATAATATAAGACATTTAATACATATATAAAATGCATTTGTGCTTTCTCAAGCTATGGCCAAAAAATCGTGAAAATTACTTGTGATTTTGAAGTGAAATTTCCCCGTAAGCTGTTTTAGATCATGTACTTTAGGCCCTGACATTGAGTGCTCTTTGATGACAGCGTTCTTCAGCCTCTCGTGAGTCAAAGTCATAAAAATGTAAATATTTCAGACGTAATGTGAGTGAGACATGGAGCTGAGGAGGTCCCAGCAGCTCCAGTGGCTCTGATTGCAGACTACTTGCATGAAGTGCTATGATTAGGCCTGACTCGGTTCAAATTGCAATGATCTGGAGAAAAACGCTTGGTGTCATTTTCACTGAAGGACGAGAGTGATTTAAAACTCCTGGCTCTTTCGTTGTGGTCACCCCTCATTCACCCCAAAATATTTGACTTGTACCATTGTAATGTTGAGGGCAGAAGTGAACACAAGGTAAATATATGTGTAGTTCCCGCTTTCTCGGGAGGAAGGTACGCCTTATCTGGAATGTTCCACAGGATGGATCATTTATCTCGCATTTATTTCATAATGGTTGTTGCTTCAAGACAAGCAAATCGCATGTCTTCCACCGGAAAGGTTGCACACTGCACCTTTAACAAATCTAAGGATATATATTTAACAGTCATCATTGGAAGTGTATTTACTACTATAATTATGTCAATTTGCCCATCAATCAAATGCATAAAAAGCCATACATCCTACTTATGCTGGTAATATTTTCTTCCTAGTATGATATCAGTGTAAACATGTTTTACTTTTAAAGATACATTAAAGATACATAAAGATAAACTGTTTTTTTTTAAATATATATTTTTACCTCATTCTTGTTGATAGCAGCGACTGTCCCTCCTCGTCTGAGAGCATCTCCTCTTCTGAGAGGCTCTGTCTCAAAACCAGGAAACTCAACGTCCCCAAAACTGAAGCCACCAGCAGAGAAAGGAACACATTCTTCCTGCTGCTGTCTGTTAACAAGAACAATATGATTATTATAACTGAAACATCTTCAAAAGATGTTTCAGTTTTGATTTTTAATTGCTATGGTAATGGTGTTAATTCTTCATCACTTTGAAACCCATGCAAATAAGATGACCTTGCATTTTCCAAAATAAAAAAACAACTTTTTCTACCTTCAGTTAAGATGTGTATTAGATAATATTTAGATGACATTTTCAACTAACATTTCCAGACGAAATGTGTCAAATTGCTTTAATTTATCAGCCTAATGATCCAACTTCCAGTGATTAATCTTGTACCTGTAATTTCAGTTGCTCCGTTCCATTCAAAGTAAATGTAGAGATTGCCAAATATCATGCTGTAAATGAAAAATAATCAAATGAGACAAGAACGCAATTACACCATATTTACAAATAAAAACGAAGAATCTTTGCAATGCCTTATTTTATTCCTTTAAAGGTAAAAAACAGACAGGATATAAATCACCACTGAGCATCCCACTGCTTACATGCTGTTATGCTAACAATCTGTGACCATTCTTGCTTTCATGTTTAAATGTTTTAATCAGAGCCGTACTGTTTGACATTTTAAACTGTCGCAAGAGACTTTGAATTAACATCTGCACATTGCAAGTTGAGGCTAATGTGCTCTTTGTAGTTATAAATCCTGACCTTTTCTCACTATTAGAATTAACACTAGACTTTTTAGGATCACACAGGGACATATGGGCTATAGTGAATCCTTTTCTCTCCGGCCACTTCTATAAAATGATATTATCTATCCCAGTTTTAATTAAAAACCTCTTCAACAAGAAACTGCTCTCTCCCCAGAAATCAATACCAAATAGCAGAGCTTATTCATAAAGATAACTGGATTTAGAGCACAAGAAAGCCTCATAAGTTTGCAGTGGCAGGGATCACCGCTGCACACAGAGATTAGGACTGGCCTATTGTGAGGCTTGGCACAGGTGACAGAGAATGTAATTATTAAACTAATTCAATTTGCACATTTTAACAAATACAAATAGTTGCCAGAGCCAGAGAGGCAGACAGAGGTGGGAGATGAAAAGGGACTAAAGCCAAAACTCTTACCTGTGAAATCGCACTGTTGTGACAAGCAAAGTTTGGCATGTTTTACTAATAATAATACGACACACACACACAGCAGGAAATCTGAATATAATGGGGACGTTAGTTGTAGATTCAATAATGTATCATATTTATGCATACAGAGATAATTACAGCATTTTCAGCATTTGTTTGTAAAATACAGGGATGCATTGATCCATCTTTTTCAGTTCTGGTACCAATTCTGATACTGCTGATACCCGATATCAACCAGTACCAATAGACCTTTTGGTTAATGCTTTTCTATGGCAAAAACTGTGAAAATGTCTTGCATATTTTCTACCAGCTTCATAAATCTGGCATATCACCAAATGTTCATCCATCAAGGTCCAGAAAGGAAAAATTCTGTCCATGAAGATCCACAAGTTTATCCACAACTATCAAGGTAAGAAAGACGACTAACACCAACTAGCATTAATGAACTACTCCTGAACAAAACAAGGTCTTGAGAAAAATGCAGAAACTATGCAGAAACTGAGAACAGCATTTGTTTTCTTTGCTACAGTACAAACTAGATCAGTTTTGTCTTATTTTATTTCTCAAGTACAGAACAAATTGTAAAAATTTTAATTGTAACATTATGAGACTTTCAAAGCCAGTAAAAAATAAATATACATAATAGACATAAATGTATATGTTCACACAGGATATCGGCGAAACCAATATCTGATCCTGAAAATTATTCAGTATCTGCGCCAATATCAATTACCAGTATCGGATCAGTGCATCCTTAATAAAATTGATTATTATAAATTATAATACCACTTTCTAATATTGTGATGTTGTGGTTCACAGTGGCAGAGTGGTTAGTCCTCTTTTTTTATTTATTTATTTATTTTTTAACCACAAATTGACGGTAAATTTTTTTTTTTTTGGACTGGTTTACAACCTATCAATATAATGCATTTGTATTTCTAACTTGCCTAAAGTCTAAAACGAATGTATTAAATGAATTGGATTAGTCTGGATTAAATTATTGGATTATCTGCGTAATAGACATTTCTGTGTATTAGAGCAGAATCAATATTTTCTGTTTCATTCCTGGATAAATAGATATTTACCTTGAATTTACTGTTTGCTTTTTTTGTTTACACAGTTTGAATGCTTAGTTTTATTTTGGGTTTGCTGTAAATCAATATACTTCTAGAGAAAATATCACAATGAGCAATAAATTGAGGCAAATTTTAAGACATCCAAGAATAAAGTTTAAAAAAGTAAAATTAAAAACAGCTGGACTTGATCTGGCAGCTTAATCTGAGCTTTTGTTGGTGACCGTGAGTCCCACATGATGTAGCAGTGGGTGGTCACTCACAGTAGCAGCAAAACTACATGCAGCTGTTTTTGTTTTACTTTCTGATTGACAATGAACAGCAATAATGAAAGTACTTTATTCCACAATAACGCAATAACCCTAAAATAGGATAATTCCAGTGGACTTTACCAGTACATGAAAGGAAACTAGCTGCTATAAATGGACAGTTTTATATCTCTAATGCGTCATAAATGTTAATTATTTAACCATGTACAGCTCAAATAAGTTGCCACAAGTGCAAAGGAAACGTTTACATGATAAATAATTTGGTTAAAAAAAACATGAGCATCTTTAATTTACTGTACAAGTAAAAGATGACAATAAAATTATTATGACAGGCCTACTAGCACACTGCCTGTCATGTGTTATTCCTGCTGACACACCAGTTGAAATTAAAGATATACTGCGCAAGTTTTCTGGAGGAGGGTCTGCTACGTACTTGTCTCCATGGAGATATCCTTGCTTTGCCTGGAATGTTCCATGGTATGACATTAAACATATCTATCTAGCATTTAATAATTACAGATGTTACTATTGCTCAAAAATACAATAACACAGATCTGAACTATAATGTAGCATGCTGCTGTAACCCTCATGATGGAGAGATTTATAGACAAAGCAATAACATTTCCATGGATATAAGCAGGTGATGGACCCTCCACTAGAAACACAGCTACACAGTGCACCTTTAAAATGAAGTCTCTTGATACCTGCACTGTAGTAGAGCCCAGAACATCCCTGTGTTTCTGTTGATGGTGGAGGCCTCAGAATTCTCCACCAGGAACTGTCCTTGAGCTGTCCACAACACTGCGGGGAGAGCGGACACAAGGGTCACTCATGGGGAAAAAATAGACCCGCTCATCCTTAATTGCCCGCACCAAGTGAAAAATTATCGTTCCGTGTTGGTAAATAATGCATCTAAACCAGAGCAGCCCCAGGACATAATCAAAATTCATCACATACAATGATTTTTCTTGCGAGTGCACAGCAGTGGGTCTGATGTCAGGGCTTTCTGCAGGAACAAGGTGCACCAGTATCTAACCCATTTAAGGTCTAATTTGGGATATGCTGATTTCACCCATCATCTATAACCATAGAGGAGATAATCCGTGTATGTATGATTAGAGCCTATTTGATCTTTAACACAGAAGTGTATGTGTACAGACTTATGTCGCTTAGGTATTTATTTTTATCTATGTATGGATGAATGGGTAAGGTACCTAAGAGCAAGTCAAGTTAATATGTTTTTGTTTTGTTTTTTAAATAATGTGAAGGCAATATTTGAACCCATATAAAAATGTGAAGTAAGAATAATAACTAGGTCTCTCAGTACGATATTATCATGATATGGATCTTAAGGTACGATATTTATTGCGATATTTTGGAGAGGAGATAATTGTAGATAGGGCATGTTTCTGCTTTTAAAATACCTTGACAAGATTTTGGTGTGAAATATTTCCATCATAATCCCAAGAATTCAAGTAAAAAACATATCTCTTCATGTTGTTTACACTGAAATGAATCATGGGATATGTAGTTCCTGATGTTTATAAGCTGTTGCTATTATAAAACCATGCATTTAAGCAAAGGAACTTGTAATTCGATATATTGTGACAGCCCACGATATTATTGTGAGACTTTTGAGGATACAATATCGTAATATTTTGGTTATTGTTACATTCCTAATGATAATAATAATATTAGTAGTATATTTTATTATGCCTATAGTCTACACTCCTGTGACTATTTTATTATTACAAAATGTTAATTTGGGGTAGTATGGATATTACAATAAAGATGCAATGTGTACATTTTCTAGCCACCTGCTTGCCTCTGTGGAGAACTTATTGCTTTACCTGAAATGTTCCACACCACAGCTTTAAACATATCTCTCATGCTTATTTATACAGTTAAAAAATCTGACATTCAAAATCACACTGTTCCATAAAGATGGATAGATTTAATGCCATGCTGTGGAACATTCCAAGCAAAGCAATATCATCTCCATGGAGACAAAGCGGGGACTGTGCGCTCTACCAGAAAAGTTATTGCTTGTGAGCCACAATAATGATGCAAACTGGCAGTTTAAATACAATTAAACAAATGTGATTGTAACCCAGACAACGGTACTGAATGGAGACGAACTTACTGGCTGCTCCGATGCCAATCAGCACTGAGGTCAAATAAAAGGACCACGTGAACGGGAGGATGAAGACAGCAATGTAGCCACTGCAAACAAAGAAACAATGATTATTTATAGGGATACATTGATCCAGCTTTTTCAGTTCCGATACTATGGCTTTAGGTATTTGCTGAGACCCGATATCAACAGATAACAGTGCAGAGACTGAAAACAGCATTTATTTCCTTAAAACAAAAATATGACAAAATTAATCCATGTGTCTTGCATAGCTGTTATTTATTTCTCAAAGAATTACAGAAAAACCTTTTTGCAATAGTTTATATGGTCAGCCAGGATATCGACTGAACCGAATTTTGAAAGCATATATTCGATTCAGCAAATTTTTAAGTATCAGTGCCACTATTTGATGCATCCCCAATTATTTGTAAAGATAATTTATAGCATTATAGTGTTAAATAACAGACTTATGACAACTAACCTGTAAAGAAGGCCACTCAAAAACATACTGTGTTTCGCACCAATAACTGCCACAACAGTTGGTGCAAGCAGATTTGAGAAGGAGAATATTCCATAAATGATGCCAAGGCTGGAAAACAAGAGCACACATTAGACTGTGCCTGAATGCCTTTATGTGGTGTGACATTATTGCATTTCTTTTACACTTTTAGACTAAAACAAATTCAGAATAAAAGGTGCCAAAATTTAAGTCACTATTTACCTGTAATATCCACTCCCAGAGAAAGTGTCATTTTCCAGACTTTTTACCACCGTTTGCTGAAAAAGTGAAAGACAAGAAAATGTTCAGACTAGGTTTTGAGTCACCCATCCGGTCACGACGGTCAGACCCACTGACCACAGATGAAAATGAGAAACACGAGCTTCCTGCATCCTGACTGACCATCACAAAGTATAGCCTAACTTTGATCAAATATCACTTTTCATAACACATAGCATGGAAAGTTCTGCTACTTACTTCTACGTTCCCACAAGTCGTGAATGCTGTGAAAATAAACAAAAATCCAACACCTAAAATAGCGACATTAAACGTCCTTCTATCCGCCATGGTTTTCTCTAAAGGCGCATATTCTAATAATTCATTTGAGGCGGGTTACCACGAAGCGCCCTTCACTGAATTTTCTACAGGGAAGAGGCACATACAAGCAAACCACAAAAAGTTTTAGAGAAAGTTGAGTCTAGTACTACTTAGTTACGGTTTAATGCGCGAATAGCCACAATAAAGGATAGTGGAGCTGCAGCGGACGCCAACAGTGCGCCTCTGTTACGGGGTCTCTGTCATGCCAAGTACGCATGACGACTTGTGACTTTGATTAAAAGCAATTTTCCTCTTCCTTGAGTGTCTTTCTCTACTTCTCATGTCTATGCTGTCTGTGTCGTCTCGTCCTTCTTCTCGCTCTCGCAATAGTGGGTCACTGATTTGGATTTGCTGCCTTCCAGAGGTGACCATGAGCATTTTCCCCATATAGGACAAAGATGATTCATTTTCATACCTCCACTTACATTCTCCATTATAATAAGACCATAGATCTCAATAGGTAACTAGTGTCATGTGTTGCTAGATGCGATCTGGGGTTTGCTCTCATTATGCTAAATTTAATGCATTTGTTCCAGGTAATTTCAAGCATCACTGAAAATTTGAAAGCATGATGTGGACAACAGAAAATTATGACATTGGGTAGATGTGTGTATAGACTACTATGTGTTCTCTGGCTTCAAATGTTATGTGTTCAAGTCCATTCTGACAAAAATGACAAAATGTATTATTTTTTATATGAAGTAGTGTTACATGAAATGCCTAGTCCATATTGATTTATGAGATTAATTATTAGACTTAAGATAACTTTACTGACCCACAGGGGGAATTACGTGGACACAGTAGCTCACACATTACAATGACATAGACATACCACAGAAACAAACAAACAAACAAAAAATAATAATAATAAATACATTTTTAAAAATGGAAAGAGAAAAAAATATATAAATGCTACTAAAATTCAAAATAAATAGCAAAAATAGCAAGAGATCTGTGTCATATAAAAAATTATACAGATTTGTATATGCACAAGTTGAATTAAAATGAATATAGAATGGCTGTAAAGCCTCTACAAGAGTGGGTAAGGAGTTCTGATATATCTTAATTCTAATTCTAAAATGTTACTGTCTTTGTTAACATCTCATAAATTGCTTACATTATTACACATCTTAAACTCTTTGGATTTTCAGTATTTTTTTTTTTTTTTGTAAAGTCAATGAGTTTTATTTATTAAGAAAGTGCCATCTCTTGGAGGACTGCTGATCTCAGCTTCCACACCAAAGATTTTCAAGAGCAAGAGCAATTGTATTTTTACTTCCGTGTTTGTTCATTTTCCGGAAGTTGGTCTTATTTAACTTTTTTCTTTCCTAAAATTATATAACGTTTTGATTAAACTATTTTCAAACATTTCTAGATTAAGTAGTGCTGTGCTGCTTGGTTGCAAAACTGTGATCTGGCCCATACAAAATTATATATTCTTAGCATAGTGTTACCACCAGGGGCTACATTTCTTTCACTTTCGTGCTTACGTTGAGTTAGTGATCGTTTAAATTTGGTCTTGGGACGCAGCGTTTCTTTACAAAGGTGAAAAATATTGTGATTTTTGCTGCTGACATTTGGTTATCCCCAGATAAACTCCGTCAGGTAAGTTACGGTAAAGTTTTGCTCCTAAATGTTTGCACTCATCCTGTTGTGTGTCATCTCTTTGGCACAGCCTACAACAGATTGTACACAATCATCATGGCGACCCAGGATGGTGGGTACTGAGAAAATACTGCTGCATTTTTCCTTTATTCTTACAGATTACACAATTGCTATTAATGTGTTGACTTGCAGATGTTACTAATTTATAAACGCGAGATTTAGCACACCAGATGTACTGTAATTGTACGCATCGTGTATGATTATTTTTCATCTTAGAAATGTTGCTGCTAGCTCACGAGTGCTAACAGAGAAATCTAGAATACCGACAGTGTTGAAAATAAGAAGACACGTACAGCTCAGCGTTTGTTAGTTTCATTTTCTCATATGATCTTATCAACAAGAAACATAAAACAGCCATTAAACACCACGCTATCAATCTTGTACAATACCAGATCACTGCATTTAAAATGGAACTACTCCACTACATGCTTATTATTATTGAAATTCAACTTTAGGACATAATAATAATCCTATAAAATACAATTACTAAGCATTCTAAGTCAGTATGTGATCGTGGAAAAAGCCATAAGTAAAAAGAGATTGGGCAGAGATACCAAATGTAATATAATACGTTCATTTTACTGTCTGACCTAACTTTACCTGTATCAGCTGAGCAGTCATAAATAATTATATTTTTGGATTTTAGTTATAATCGTTAATTGGGGACTTGACGTTTGGGGGTGTAACTCCTTTTTCCTGCCCTGCAGTGGGACACGCCTTTGTAGCAAAATACAAAAATTATTTTCAAATAATAAACGAGTTTTACAACAATTCTATGGAAGCCTATTCACAAGCATAACATAATTTTTGTTTAACTCTTTTAATTTTAGACACTCTGCTGGACATCCACTTTAGACTGCCATGTTAAAAATTAAAAAAAATACTTTTTATGTCTAGAGTGATAGTTTTAAGAATTATGTCACTGTCTTATCATAAAGAACATATTTTTAACTTTTAGAATTGTATTTTTCTTAGGAAATAGACCTGTCACACTGCAGGGCATCAAACAGGCGTATGTTCAAAAATTTTCAGAAAAGTTATTGACAAAAATAAGAAAATGATAATAATACATTTGTTTTGTATCTTAAACCCTTAACTCCAACTCTTCCTGGAACATAAGTGACAGCTGAGCTCCTTTTAGTTTTTGTGTAACTGTAATTTTATTAAATATGTGTTTTTTCATGTCACACCACAGGACTCCCTCTGAATTACAACATTAAGATGCTTACATTTTTTTTAGATTTAAAGTACTGAAGGTGTAATATTATTATATTAGTACACAAGCTTCCCTTTGTGCCAACACTTTTACTAACTGTCTGAGACTCATTCTAGATATTTTGCAGTGTTAAAATCACTCCGCAGGACATTTAATGTTTTGTTCGTTTGTTTTGTTATAATAGAAAGACATGAAATGTGACTTTATTCTGAAACTATGTAATTTATAGAATACATATTTGTGCACATTAGAGTTGAAGTTTGGAGGAAGAAAAATATTATTTAGAAAGTAATTTAAAGTGATTACGCCGAAAATGTGTGTCATGCTAAGTACCTTATTACTAATTTAACCAGTCAGTTGTCCTGTTAGCAATATTATTATTATTATTAGAATTTTTTTTTTTTTTGATCCGGAATTTCCCAAAGTTTTGTTTAAATTGTATTGTATTACTTAATTGCTCAACAATAGGGAAGGGGAAGTAATGAAATGTTAATACTGTCAAATAATACATTGTGTTAGTTAAGCCCTTTAAAAATAGGTAATCCAACAGTACATGAATTGCTTTTTCTTTTGAATTAATTTTAATGTAGAGTAATTTTAATGTGTAATAATAATAACCTAATCTATACATTCCGAGATGTCAAAGGGAATGTGTTGAATTTCTAACTAGTTAAAAACTCCACTTTATTTTATCCTTGTACTTGACTTTTTGTAACACAACACCCTTTCCGTACATTGGTTTATTTACTTTACTTTCTTTACCATGCTCAAATATCTGCTTTGTATTGTCTCCAGGAAGTGCAGAAGTCATAATGGAATCTGATACCAGGCCAAATGATGGTGAACCACTTGCGGGCAACTCGGAAAATGCATCTCAAACGGATTCAGGAAGCGCCACAACTCAGGACTGTAGTATTAGCAACGGGGATGACGCCGATGAGCAGCAGGAGATGGTTGACTTGAAGATTATCTGGAATAAGAATAAGTATGATCTTAAAATTGGTATTGACAACACCGGAGCCAAATTAAAAGAGAAAATCCATTCACTCACTGGTAAGATGTGTTTAAAATGATTCTCAGTATGATACAATGAACACATAATTTACCTCTCCTCTAACTTGAATAATGATAATTTCCTTGACGCCATCAGGTCTTCCACCTACAATGCAGAAAGTGATGTACAAAGGATTGCTCCCTGAAGATAAGACGCTTCGTGAAATAAAAGTTACTAATGGTGCAAAAATAATGGTAGTAGGATCTACAATAAATGATGTTTTAGCTGTGAATACGCCCAAAGAGGTCATTCAGCAGGAAGTCAAAGCCGAGGAAAACAAGAAAGAGCCTTTATGTAGACAAAAGGTGAGTGAACATCACATATTTAAAGAGCAGTGTCCTGTAGTAATTGATTGTTAATTTTATGTCAATATCTTAATATTTCAGCAACACAGGAAGGTTTTGGACAAAGGTAAACCAGAAGACATAATGCCAGCTATCAAAGGAACCAAGGTACTATGTTATTTTAATTTATCGCTTCAAAATATTGGTACATGACATGAGTGACTTGAGATTTAGTTATTATATTGACATTACACTGACTTTTATTTTTATATTACATATATTACAAAAGCAATATTCATGAGAGTATACGGATATTTAATCCACATGTACAAAAATATAATAGTTATAATAGTACATTTTTACCTTAGTCTGTGAAATTTTCTTTTACCTTATTTAGTTTAAATTATTTCCAAGGACTGTGTAACTTCTCTGGTCATCTGCTCATCTCACTGGAGATTTTATTGCTGCCTGCAATATTCCACAGTATGGCATTAAATTTATCTATATACCAGGCATAGTTCAGATCTGTGGAGTGGCTGACCCTGTTTGTAGCAAGAATATATGTTTTTCGAGGTAAATTGGAGCATCAAAAGCTTCTGTAATTATATAAATGCCATACTGTGGAACATTCCTGGCAGAGCAAAAACCCAGCCAGTAGAGGAGTTACGTAATGCACCTTTTAAAACTGAGTGGATTTCAGTTTGTGTTCCCGAAAGCCACCATTTCTTGTGGTGCCAATGCTCAAGAGCTACTGTTAATCAATCATTTCTAAAATTGTGTATCAAAATGTGTCCTGACAACCCTAACGTCATGACAATCAAAATGATTTTTTGCTTATTAAAACTGGACAATCTGTGTGATTAATGCTTTATTAAGTTTGCTGTGAGTGACCGGGGAAAACCATGTGAGGGGGATTGATTGCTTTCCTTGTGTCCGTCACAGGAGCGATTACCCACAGTGCCTTTATCCGGGATGTTTAACAAATCCGGAGGAAAAGTTAGACTCACATTCAAACTGGAGCAGGATCAGTTGTGGATTGGAACAAAGGGTGAGGACTCAGTCTGGCTCATTATTCTCAATTCAAAGCATCTTTATTGTGCCATTGTTACAGAAATGCGTTTCCATTTTGTGTGTGTGTGTTTATTTCTGCAGAGAGAACAGAGAAAGTCCCAATGGGCTCCATTAAAAACGTAGTGTCTGAGCCCATCGAAGGCCACGAGGACTATCACATGATGGTAACTGTTATTTACTGTGCTAATGCCTGTCTTTTGGAGATCATTTAAATGGAATGGGGATTTATGTCTGAAATCACTGAAAAGGCAGTTCAGTTGTAGGAGTAAAGGTTGTGCTACTGCGATGTGAATACTGAATTAGAAAACATGCACAAAAAATATATGTTAAAGGTCCTCTATTACAGAAGAAGCTTGTGAGCTTTAAGCCAAGTTATAATGTTTTCTGCTTAAAAACATCATGTACTTCAATTTGTGTTTTGTTTAATTCACACGTTTCAGTAATCCATTATTATTAGTTTGTCTACATCCAAAAAACTCAAAATGCTCTGTTCCACCTTGTGATGTCATGAAGTGGTAGTTTTCAAATTAACAGCTACATTTTACCTTTTGTTCAGAAGAGATTGACAATTTCAGGACTGAAATCATCCAAATTATTCTAGGTGTACAGGGTTTAAAGACAGTGGAGCACGTCCTGTATTACCACATGACATCACAAGGTGGAACAGAGTGTTTTCAGTTTGAGAGAAGAACACCATCTTAATATGCAGGGTTTGTGTGTTAAACATGTGTGAATGAAACAAAACACAACTCTGAGTATGTTTTTGATGAGGAAACAACATTATAATATAGATCAGAAATATGGGCCTTTTAAGCTTTTATCTTTACTACCGCGGATGCTACTACAACTACTACTACCTTAATGTTACTACTCTTTTGGGTACTTCTGTTGCTAAGCTACAACATCCATTACCGATTCTTTGTATTATTCATGCTTCTATCAGTATTTTTACTACCACTCTACTAAATATTTCCCTTTAGTTTAGCCACACAATTAATTGCTTATAAACCCTTACTCATTTGGAGACAGAATAAGTCTTCTAGAAAACCATTTGATAAAAAAGTGTTTGCAAGTTAGACCCTGTATGGGAATCTTTCCTGTTTCATGTCATGTGTTTAAGAAAATACTAGTGTACAGATTTAAAAGGCAGCATTACTTAAGTGTCTGCATTTCTATGAAGCAGGTCACTGAAGTTGAGTGGAGTTTGTTGTTATTGTTTGGTCTTCAGTAGAGCGGCAAATGTCAGTGACTTCTTTATATTTAACCTTTAAAAGCACTTGTGTTCTGCACTGTGAAATTGAAGGCTGTTTCAGATGGAGAACAGGAAACCTTCAATAAGAAAGGTGGCTGTAACAAACTTTAGATTCAATAGCTCAGAGCTGCAAGTGGAAGTAACCAAATGTAGACAGAACACAAACTCTCTGAGCAAGCTACTGCTCAGTAGTAGTGATAATAGTCTTAATCACGAGTTAATTCAGTATTTCTATATTTTGAATAGGATTAGTTAGTAGTGAAAGCATTGTCAGTTCTTTTAAAACATTTTCTATTTGCAAAACCAAAAAGACAGAGAATTGGACATTTTTTTAAGCACTTATTGTTTTCCCTGGTCTGCATTATATATACAGATGCCAGCCAATTATTCAGATGCTTTGTGTTTTATCTGTTAATTAGATGATTTGCTAAATTGTTGGAGTTTGCTTTTTACTATGACCAGTTCTGTCGTCTCCACAGGCTTTTCAGCTCGGTCCAACAGAAGCCTCTCAATACTGGGTCTACTGGGTGCCTGCACAGTTTGTTGATGCAATCAAAGACACAGTCCTTGGAAAATGGCAGTATTTCTAATGTGCCTCAACAGTGACAGTTCTGAACTGGGAATAAATAAAAGCATAAAAATAACTGGAGACCGCAGTGAGGCTTCAAGACCTTTGTGGATTTTAAAGAGGAAGTGAACTGATGCCGTGGACTAATCATATTCTTTTTAGGGTCAAAGTGCACTATGTGGCAGCAGAACATTTCTCAGCCCAAATGTTTATTCAAGATTTTCATCAAATTCAAGGGAAAACAGTGAAACAATTGTACAGAAATTGCTAACACTTTTCTTCATTTATTCTTAAAGAAATAAAACTTATTTAATGAAATAAATCATGCTTGTCATTGTTATTTTGTACTTCAGAAACATTAATTGACCTTATATCATTGCATAACATGGGACAATTATGCAGTATATGTCAAGTTTTGATAAAAGAAATATAGACTTTCCACCATTTCTCTGCTTTAAGTGTGAAACTGATTGTGGCATATAATTTAAGTATATATCTATAGTAACTTAAATTGTAAACTATTTGTTTCTGTTACATATGCTTTTATTTAATTATTGGTTTTATTATGAAAAGTTTAAAACGGAAGTGCAGGTTTAGGGGAGACAAACGCAACTTCCTGTTTATGAGTTGTTGGCGGGAACTCGTGTCAAGAATTTGCCAGAAGACGATGTTAATGTATTTACAGATCGGAACTATTGATCAACTTTTAAAACAACTATTATTTTAGCTTCGTGTTCGTGTAGTGAGTTGCAGATGTACAAAGCGGAGAAAAGCTTAGTGGATAAGAAGCGCCCTCCCCCGGTGAAGGTGCTGTCGGGTCAGCTGAGAGCGGCGGGCGGCAGGGGGCACACCATGGGGCACACCATGGGGCACACGGACAGCGGGGAAGGGGTGCACATCAGGGTGGGCCCGGGCCGCAGCCTCCTGGTCTCCCTGGTGTGGATGCAGGGGACGGTCCTGGAGGTGCAGCTGGAACGAAACACGGTGCTGCTGATGGATGAGACCGGGACGTTTACAGTGCAGGGGGTCAACAGCATCCCCAAAGGAAAGCCATGTTTGATACAAGGTGAATAATGTAGTAAAGGAAATTAAAGGCGCATTCTGTAACTTTTCTGGGTGGAATCCAGTGTGTCTTCATAGATGTTTGTCTCCATAGAGATGTTATTGCTTTATTGCTCCAAACTAAATCATGCATTCTTCCTGTGAGTCAGCTTGCCTCTCCACCGATCTGAACTGTAACCAGGCCTAGTGACTACCTGGTTGTCTCCATGAACATAAATAAACTCAATGCCATACTGTGGAACATTACTGGCAAAGCAGTTACTCTATAGAGACCGCACCAGAAAAGCATTAACACCAAACTTTTAAAACTACTATAAACTAACACTCTTTTTAACTTCTTCTCAACTCTTTTGCTTTAAATTAATTACTTACTTATAGCTTTTTACAAAGTTATGAGCCAACACTACTTAGTTTTGTCTAATATGTGTATTATAACTTCCATAAAAAGATTTTCCAATACAATTCTCAAAACCAAAGTACCACACAGCCTGAAGTTAATTGCTGTGAAGTGTATTGACAAAATGCCCTGCCTCCAATCAAATACCAATTTCCTAACATCTAATCTCCATCTATTAAACCTTGAATAGCTGATATTACTGCTGTGCCTCCACTGCCACCACACTCCACCAGCCTCATGCTCGGTGTCTTTACAGGCAAATATGTCATGGTGATGGGTGTGATCCAGGCGGCCTCCCCGGAGCCAGTCATCCGTGCCGTAAAAATGGCCGACCTCTCGGAGCAGGCAGCGCTTCACCGGCGGATGTGGAAGCTGGAGGTGGAGGACTTGCAGCGGGTGATGGCTTGAATTCAGAGCCGCTCGCAAACGCCGATGATGGGGTCCCGTCACAGCTAGGGGGCGAAGCAGTGCCAGCGTGATTGATGCAAAAACCTACCTCAATGGACCAAATGGCAGAGTGGAGATGTTAGTGTTGAAAGTGCTTGGGTATAGGGCGAGTCATTATGCTTGAAAAATGAAGACCACAGCACAAGATTGGATATATGGACTTGACACAGGCCATCAGTCAAACGTGTTAGTAGTTAACTTTTCTATATTAAACTGAATGTAGTGATGCATGAAAGACAAACTTTCAGAAACTAAATGAGAAAAAAATGAACAAAATAACACATATAATAGTGTACAGTCAATAAGTGTCCCAATCCTTCCGAGACTCGTGTGTGCGTGTGTTACAATAAAACAAGTATGGAAACATTTTAAGGGCAAAAATAGATATTCCCTAAGACAATACTTGCAATACTACTTCACATTAAATTCAAGACTTAAAACTGTGCCTAAAGGCAAAATTATGTGAGTAGGAATTTTATTTTCGAAATGTGTTTTACTGGCAGTCGTTTCCATCTAAATGTATAAATGATTAAGATTATTACAAGAAGTATTAATAAAATGATCACAAATGTTTTCATAAAATCCCCTGGTATAAATTGACAGAAGCACGTACCATTGCGCATAGGCCTGTCATGATAAATATTATATCCACTTATGATTCAGTATGATATGAACAATATATTTTGGGGCTCTGTATTTACTGTGTCATTTCTTCGCAGAAGTTGCAGATGTACTAATATATCAGCCTTCAAAATGTGTTACTGACATGATAACAAATCATGATGAGGCCTAATTGTGCATGCAGGTACATTCCGTTCTTTGATCACAGATTTGTACACAGGTAAGTGTCTTGCTCAAGAACACAGACCCCGCTCAAGCTATATGCCCTGTGAATGAATACTTTTTAATTGGTTGTCCCGTCCGTATAGTTACAAGAAGTTAAGTTAAATGAACACAACTGGTTCAAACCAATTTTTGAAAAAATGTTTTATTTTTTGTGCCCATCACAATGGTAACACTATTAGATAAAATGGAAAGTGAAAATGATGTATACTTATGGAATAAAATAATGTCAAATTAACTCATTTTTAATTACCCCTTACACATTTGTTCTCAAAGGTAAGGGTATAAAGTTAACATATAAACTTCAGAAATAAAATAATTATTTTGTCATCTGTTAAGTATTTGAACACAACTGTGATTGGTGTTAACATGCTTTTTTCACCACCGTTTGAGTGTCTATTTGTTGTTTTCATATGAACACACTTGTAGCTCAGATCAGAGAAAACCAAACAATTCATAGGACCGCTCCATGATGGCCCTTTAAAATCAGAAGCTTTTAGTGGCCCTCAAGAATAGCCTGATGTATTAACTTGAATCCAAGCATTTCAACTTTTTCCTTTTGACTTGAACATAAATGCAGTTAATTATTTAATGTCTCTTAGGAGAAAACTGTATTTTCCAAAATCATTGTCATTCGGTGCTATAAGATGATCTTTTTTAGCTTTGGCAAGTTTCATCAAAAGGAATTCCCTGCGCTCCCTCCACTCCCTCAGCTCCTGCTCCCCATGAGCCAGTTTACACAACTCGTCCTCTGTGCACGTGCCTTTGAGGAACCTGTGGACAAACAATTCAAACTGTTAGACAAAGGATTACTCAATATGCTACGATTGCACTATATAGTTTACATCTATTGTTTAGTAATAATGCATTAGTTATATGTAGTATCGTGCTTTCCCAGATGTTCAAAGTCACTTCACAGTTTCGTACATTATTCATTCACTCCACTCTCACTGATGGTAAGGTAGCAGCCAAGTGTCTTGCCTAAGGTCACAACATCAGTTCTTGCCACTGGCAACCCAATGTGGCACCTGGAATTCCCAGTGGTTGCCCATGTACTAATTGTTGCCTATTTACCGCAGGCTTAAAATTTTGGTTAAATGAACAAAGAATTTTGACATTCCAAAATGCAGTGATTTTTTTCAAAGAAGTTACTGTGCTGTCCATTGCAGACTTGTAGTTGATTATTCAGTATAATACATGCTCACCTTTCACAAACTCTAAAAGTGCCTGTGGGAAATCGATACTGCCAGCAGTTCTGATCATCCTCAGAGTTAAAGACTCGGTCCTTGTGTTTTTCTGAAGTGATGTGCTGCTGCCACTGTTTCTCACTGTTGCAGTTTTTACCACAAAGCCAGCAATGATTACCAGCCTGTAGGAACACATAATGGTCAGTAATGAATTGGTAGGTGGCAGAGAATTAGATCTCATTTGCCTGGTAATGTTTTAAACTCACAACTTCTTCTGCATAGTCTGTTGGCATATGGATCTGTTTGCCATTTTCCCGAACAGAGTTGTTAGAGGAGTCATCACCCCAGCCGGGTTTCTGTGACAGCAGCCACTGCTCATAAAGCTGCTCCATGTCTCCAACTACAACAACACACAGTATTTGTGACGATGTGAAAGACAAAACCTGCGTTTAAAAAACAAACAAAAAAAACAACTCACTGTTGTTTTCCTTCATATAGGTCCATAGATCTCTCTCTTCTACACTATGAGCAAAAGTGCAATTGCCAATGTATTGGCATTTCTTACCAGCAGTTACATGCATGCAAATCTGAAAACAACAATAGTTTAATTGCAGCCATTAAAAAATTACATACATAAAGGTCTTCAGACACACCTCAAATTGGGCAGGTATTGGCTTTTTGGTTGGAAGTGGACGAACAGTTGTCCACTTTTTCCTTTCATTGGAACTTACTAGAACCACCCTTCTATCTTTGGCCCACCTGAGAAGTAAAAGGTTATATGGCTATACTGTAAAATTACATTGATTTGTATTAACAGAAGGTTTTGTAACAAAATGACTGGAGGACTCACGGATGCCTGGCTTTAGCAGAACAATACTTTTTGTTTTTGTCAGCTTCACTTAACTGACCATTTCTCCAGCACTGGCCACAGACAAACATCATCTTTAGATTTGGAGGCCCAAACCTGGGCTGTGTGTTAGGAAGCTGCTAAGACATAAAAACATAAATAATATAAACAAATAATTCACAATTACAGTTGAACCAGTTTGATTAGGATGTTACTGTTACCTGTGCTCCCTGCAATGAGGCTGTCGCAGCCCAAAACTTTTTTGCTTCTTGGACAATACTTTCAGGAGTAAGACCTGCCACAAGTAAGAGAATGTTTTATTTAACTCACAGCCAAAGGTTATTCATATAGAAAATACATCTTATAATACATATTTTACATATTTCACAAACATCATGGCCTGCCTGTTCTTACCCAGTTCGTGCTGCATCATCCACACCTTGAGCTCGATGAGGCTGTGAGCGTAGAAGCACTCGTCCTCTCGGCTGCAGCCGTACCTCACCTCATGACGACACAGGTCCAGCTGACACAACGGAGTTAGGGGTCGGATCTTGGAATAACGAACCATGTTCTCCTTCAAAATGTGAACCAGGCACCTGCACACAGTCAGTCAACCATCAGCTTTCAACAGTTCATTGTTTGTTTAATGAATTCTCTGAAAATGTAACTGAAGTAACTTACTTGTTGGACTCAAAGTCATGTTTTGTCACCGGGTGAGAGCAAAGAGAAGGATTATCTTTATTGGTTTTGCTGATTATTCTTGGTTTGTGATCAAAACATACCTGTAAAGAAAAAAAATACTGAATACTGAATCAAATTTCATTTAAAAACAGGATGTATTATAAAATTACAGCAATATTCATTTTGCAATGCAACAATTAATGTGTGCTGCAATAATGGTAAATATTTTTAGGAATTTTAAGGAATTTATGAATATTTGCTCAAAATGAGTAAATGAAATTATTCTTAAATCAATATTCATAATACTGATTGCATGGTTATTTGTGCGCAGCAACAGTTAGTAGCAATAGTGTTTTATATTATAAAAGCTTGTTTGAAATGATAAAAGCCATACTTAAAAATACGTACTCCACAAAGGAACATAAAAATGCCGTGATGCTCCTGTAAGATTTTTGGGACCGTCAGCCTGACGTTGGAGTGGGGCCCGAAAGGATCAAAGAGCAGCTCCCTGGAGATAAAGCCTTTTCGCTCCAGAGTCCAAACATCAATTTCTTCCTGACAGTATGCAAATGTGCAATGGCCCGGGTACAAGCAATCCTGTCCAACCGCCACCTCTGCAACAACACAGATGACATTTAAAACGCTGGCTCTTCATTCACACCGTGGAAAAGCATGAAATGTGACTGGTGGATTTATCAAACAGGGACCAAAAGAGGCGCTTCACTAATAACAGAACAAAGTAGGAGCAGTGATGTTGGAGAAAGTACCTTTACAAATGTAATAGGGCCCGACATATTGGGTTTTTGTAGGTCTTGGTCGTATTAACTTCCACGTTTTATCTGTTGAATGCTTAAGTCTGCCAAGTAAAGCATCTTTTTTGCATTTATGTTCTTCCGTGTGAAGTGTGTAGTCCAATACACCAGAACCTGCACATATAAAAAGAACATCATGTTAAATACCATTGTGCACATTGTTAAATGAGGCTGCAGCAACCAATCAGATCAATTGTGACCAACTGATTTTTAAAATGATCTGTATGCCTTTTCATTATTGTTAGCTGCCATGTGATGGAAAAATGATCACAAACAATACTGCAATGAAATCAACATTCCACAAAGAATATACTGTATATATTGTGCAATTTTGGTTTTTAAAAGTTCTTTATCAAGAGTAGGGTGGCCATCATAAAGTGCCCATATTATGCCATTTTCTGATGTATGTTATAATGTTGCAATGTGTTTAACACACAAACCCTGCATATTTGGGCTGAATTCTTTTGTTAAACAAAATACACTCTGTTCCATCTTGTGATGTCATGTGGCAATATAGGAAGTGCTCCACTGTGTTTTTAAACTCCATACACCTTCAATAAAATAATTTGGATGATTTCTGCCCAGATTTCAGAATTGCCCATCCCTACTTAACTAAACGTAAAAGGTATCTGTTAACTAACATACCACTACATGACATCACAAGGTGGAAGAGAGCAATTTGAGCTTTGGAGATGGAGACAGACTAAGAATACAACTCTGTATGTTGTGAGGAGGACACTACATTATAACATGGCTTAAATATCACAAGAATCCAATTTGTGTACTATAGGACCTTTGAAAAGCTGTAAAAGTAAAATAAGTAAGGCAATGTGGCACATGGTGGGATGGATATGATAGAATTAAGACTAATGGGTATAAATTAGATTTTCAGTGATTATCCTTTAATCACATCATATTACAGTTCTCAAGACAGGACCCAAGTAGTGATGTTGTAAGCAATATTTGTGTATTCCAGTTTTCTATGTAAATATCACTAATACGCTTCACGTGGCACTTATTTGTATTATGTCCCAATTTTGCATATGTGGGCTGTGGAACAAGAAAGAGAGGGACAGGTGGCCACCCCAATCAAAAGTTTTTGAGTCAAGTCACTGTAATCTACTTAAAATAATATAACAATAATCTTGAAAGCACAATAGAAATCATTTATCACTAATGAACAACTAAAATTATCATTAGAAAATTAAGATGATTAAACTTGCCTGTTTTAACATAGCAAACTGAACATGCTTGTCTAAATTCATGAGTTTCTGCTAAAGGGTTCTTGGCCAAATCTACAGCAGCAGGGATCCCCTTCACCTCTGGCATTCCCAGTGGCATTCCCATGGGAGCATCATGATTATTCATCTGTGAAGAAAAACACCAGTGAGTCATCAAGGTCATGGTCAAGAGGATTTACATAGAACATTTAAAACAACCAATGTGCTTCAGTGCCTTTTTGATAATTACCTTTATGTATTTCGACCTCTGGAATTATTTGTTAGCATTTTCACTTCACTTAACACTTAAATGGGACTAAACTAGCACAAAATCAGGACTTAATTAAATAACACTAACCTCCCCCCCAAAAAACTCCACATACATTACAAATTAACAACCAATGCTAAAGAGCAATACATAAAAACATACTGGTCAAATAATAACACAGGATATAATACTCAAGAACCTCTTATCACATAATAATAAAAATTACATAGAAATTACCTGTGGAATAAATGGACGAGGGGCAAATTCTGAAATTGTAAGAAAAATAAAAAATATTAAATCAATCAACAACAAAATTTTATTTATTAATACATTATTATACCATGGTCACAGAGAATTGGAACGCATTACACAGGTAGATCATCAACAGTTACAGTAATAGGTCACCATAAATAAATAAATCACCACGGCAACCTATTAACTGCTGTTAAGAGGGACAAGCTTAAACTAAGACAGAAATAACTAATGCTTTGAACATCCACAGACAGATAAAAGGTTGTCAGATTAAAAAGTGACCCATTTTCAGTTGGTGGGACCATGATATAATATAAGCGGATTAGTTAAACTCTTAATTTGCCTCACCTGATTTAAAGTCTGATATGGAGAGGGTATCCAGTGAGTCCAACGAAGGGGCTAAGGTCTCAAAAGTGGGCAAAGTAGGCAAACCAAATATTGATGACTGATGATACAAGGGGGGCAGATTGACAGTGCATGTTTGAGTACTAGTGGGTAGAAAGGGGTTAATGTTAGATGGCATTAGGAATGGACTTGATATTGAATTACTTGATGAAATACTGGTTGGCAATGGAAGAGGCCCCTTTACTGACAGTATACCCTGAAAAACAAAGAAAATATCTGTAATCCCTCAGTTGTCCAGGTAGGATTCATTGCAAAAAGAAAATTTAATTCTGTCAACTGGACAAAAGTGAATATGTTTTACCACTCATCCAAGTAGCTTCTTCAGTTCTGACAGGGTTATATCTGTCTGAATAGAGAGGCTAACTACAGTGAAACTAACACACCCTACCCTTGTTCTTTACAAAAAGAAGTATATGTTATTAGTATAAGCCATTTAATTATCTTAAGGTGTGAACTCACCTTACTCATTTATATTTTTTTGCATAATTGTTTTTGCTTTGGGTGATCTAACTCCTATTGATACTTTGCAGCTCATGTCATCAACATTCCCTGGGGGTGTGACGCTAACTGTAGGTATGCACTTTCAGAGATTTTGTTATACTTTAATCTGAGCTTTATTTTAATGTAATTTGACTTAGTTTAGTTAGAATTACAACAGGTGAGTCGATCTGTGCAGTTAAACAAGTCCCCCTAAAATAACATTACAGTTACAAGCGAACTAATATTGACCAACAGTTTCAGTTGGTCACGTTCACCATTTTTTTGCTGAATATCAAACACCAAAATGAGACCATGAACGTTAATATTTGATCACAGGCTCCAGAAAATGTGTTGATTAAATCCATGATATTTTTTTATGATTTCTAAAAACTTATGAGGCACTGCTTGTTAATGTGTGCATTATGTCACCATGGTAATGAATGCTCTGTCATTCAGTACACCCCCAGCATAATGTCACTGCAAAATACCAATTACTATACTCTGACGAGCCTTACTGCATTAGTTTCACTGTAGTTAGCCCCTCCCTTCAAACAGATATTTATGCCATATTAGTTTTTATGAGAAATTATTGGATGAGTGCTGAAAACATTTGACTAGTTGAAAGAATTACATTTTCATTTACAATTCATGTAGATAATATATTTACAAAACACAATCTATTTCTGTACTCACCATGTCTGAATCAGGGCCTGCTTGGTCTAAAAGGTCATCCAAATCATCCCCAATAATGTCCGTGTCAAAATCAGAGCTTGATTCAAGTAATGAGCCACGTTTATTAGACCTACAACCATTCACAAAAGTGGGGAGGGGGGAGGAGGAGGGCACAGACACGGGCAGGTGCACAGAGTCGAAGCCCGGGGGCTTAGAGTCCGAGGGGGTCCCACATGAGACACTGGTGCTGGTGGGGCGCTCTTCCAACACTCCATCTATCAAGGGTGAGTGCAGTGGGACTTGGATTGAAGCTGGGACTGGAACCAAAACACTATCTGGATTTAACTGAGGCACTTCTGTCAAAGCGTATAGAGGTGTAGAGAAAGAAGACACATTAATCTACTGTGCTGACCAATTTAAAAGAATCAAAATACACTTTATGGCAGTTGTCAGTGAAAAATATTCAAAAAACTAGCAATGTATCATGATGCAACATAAAAAATTTATAATGATAAATTATGACTAAAAAAAGCATGCATAAAAGAAGGCCAGAGGAAAAAAATATGCAAACAGATGATGTGTTGCGGATGTGAGTCATTTAAAGTGGCAGGTTTTAGACTAAAATGTGATAGACTGGGACTTACCCATTTCTATATCTTCAACTGAAGACGAACCATTGCAAAACTGTAAGTACAAAATGTCAGTTTCAAATAACACAGGCAGTGGCATGTCACCAATTATTCAATAACGCACCTTTTCAGATGATGCATCTTGATAAGAAGATCCACGTAAAACATTCAAGGCAGGCTGCTCAAACAGATATTGCATTACAAACACAGACAGAAAACAAACAACTTTGCATGTTTTAGCTTTGCATGCTAAATTTAGCGTGCCATTAAATTGACACCTGTTCAACTGGTTTACAAAACAAAACTACTGAAAAACAGAGTAATTTCCTTGTAAGTAACGGCTACATATTTGATAAATCTAACATGCTCAATGTGCTAACCTTTGTCCTTACATAAGCCTTTCGAATTTTCAATCCTAAAATTTTGGCGAGGTCCTGAGTCAACTGAATGACACTGAGATCCTGTAAGAGGAAAAAAAAATCTTACTTCAGAGACATTAAAATCTAAATAAATGCAACCAAATCAATATTATGACAAAAGACCATTCCAAACACCTTACCAATTTGTTTTTAAACTTCCAAAACCATGATGCCCCATTAGACACATCCATGTGCAGTACTTCTCATACTGTTTACATTTATGCCTGATTACGTAAGAGAAAATACCAGAGCAAAACCAGCACCCTCTGTATACAACAGCGCCTGCAGGCAGACTCTGATGCTTTAATTTGCATCTATGTTTGTCACATTTATAAAAACAAGAGGTGAAGAGATTTTCTGCTCATGAATCAGTTCTGAAAAGCCCCCAGATCTGTGTCTTACCTGAGGCACCACAAGAGAACATTTGGCGACTGCCTCATAGGCCTCCTGGTGTCTGCCCAGCTCCTTTAAGCACTTGGCTTTCCTGAACAGTGCTTTGTAGTTACCCTCATTCAGTTGCAGAGCTTTTTCACAGTCGACAAGAGCAGCGTCATACAGTCCCTGTTTAAAAAAGACACAAAGTTAAAGATGCACTATGTAACTTTTGGGATGTGGGTCCGTCGACTTGCCTTGGAATGTTTCACAGTATGACATTAAAACAGCTCTCTCTACCTTATGTTTACTAAATTGCAGGTGCCTTCGTAGCTCAATAATACCTTGAAAAACAGGCACTCTGACTGGGAGAGTGGTTGCCACTCCACAGATCTAACCTGTAACTTGGTCTGGTTTGGTCTCCATAATGATGGATAACATTTCCATGGAGAAAAGCATTTGATGGACCCTCCACCAAAAAAGTTACACAATGCAACTTTCAACAATGATACACTTGAAAAGGCACTTATACTGCTGCAAGAAGCACACAGCTAAAAAGCTCCTTTGATCACTAAGTCACATTGTAACCTATGGCTCTGTACTGTGTTTACTTAAGAGTGCCGAGAACTTTGCAGGTAAAATTCCTACTTTTGAAACCAAAAGTAATTTAAAACAGGTATTACCACTTGTGATTACTTTAAATTTAGCGTGATAATATGCATGGCTTAAGAATAATTGGAAATGTTTTCTGGCATTCATTCAGACAGAATTAAACTTTATAGTCATTATATATGCTCCAGTACAGTGCAATGAGAGGGGACTAATTTAGACCCAATACACAAAGCCACTTAAAATGACTCGCTAGAAAGCTAGCAAGTAAAGAGCCATACCAATGCAATGCATTACTATAATTTTTAGTTTTGGTATCAGAACTAGATTCTCATTTCACTACTCATCAACACTAAAAAAAAGTCTCATTCGCAGGACAGAAATGAACCTGAATAGCTTTAGAATGATCTTGAGCTGTTTCAGAACGCATAAGAAACAAAGTATAAGAGGACATAGACTAGTATACACACATGGACCACTATGGAACCAACCTGGACGACTGAGGGATTACACAGATAAGGCCACAAGGGAATATAAAAGAAAGTACTATTATGTTATGTAGAAAATCAAATCTATTCTAAAGAAATTTGTGGATATAATAAAGTACTGAGTGTATTCTTTACTATCGAAATAGAGTTTGAAATCTCAGTATCATCACAAGACTACCACACTAATTGCTCAAAAGAATAGACCAAGATATTGTTTAAGAGCTAGATAAACACGTGAGGTTCAGAGAATGTGCCCTACGCAAACCAGATTCAAAGGAGAGTTTCCCTTTTTATTAGAGACTCAAACAGAAGCCAGACACACCCCATGACACAAATCCTCTGACTATGTATAAACCATTTTATGGACACACGAAGAGTTCAGGACTTTACAATGCACATTTACACAATAGTCCACATTGTTTTATCTGATACAACTTTAGAGTTTAGATGCAGATTGAGAATAAAATATTTGAAATATAACACCTATCTTATACATTGATATAGCTCTTAATAGGTGAACTAAGGGTATAGAGCTTAATGACGATGTTCAGAACTGTGCTAAAACGTACATATCTAGGTTTAAAAATATTGCACAGAAATTGAATGAACTGTAAAATTAAAAGGACCCATATTATGCCATTTTCTCATCTATGTCAAAACATACCTGGAGTTGTGTTTTGTTTCTTTCACTCATGTTTAAATCAAAAAGGTCATTTTGAAGAGATGTAGACAGACTAATAATAAAGGAATATTCAAACAAGTGTGAATAAAGCAAAACACAACTCCAAGTATGCTTTTGAAGGTAACAAGATCAAGAGTCAATTTACGTAATATAGGACCACAAAAGCACCAATTTTTACTCAGCAAGTTTTAGTTCTTTTTACTTTTAAATCAAGTTTTTGCAGTCTTTTTAATTTCCATAATTATTGTTATAATTATTATGCTAATTTAGCTTAACTCCAAACATCATTACGAAATTTGAATTTTGTCAATATCTCCCACTCCTAGACATAGCCTAACCAAAAATTAATGAACTTTAGTGTTTGGTGGTATGTAAAAAATAATAATAAATTCCCAACCTTCCTCACATTCTCAATTTGATATGGTTTCTTTTGTTTTTCTTTTGCTCAAGTAAACAAAGACAAGGCAGACTTCTAAAATTAACTTCAACTTCAACAAATAAATGCTTTCCCACTACTATGGAAAATTATCCAAATTATTCAGTCAAAGCGTGAACTCTGCTCCAGACCACATGATTTTACTGACGACTGTAGACTTTTTGATTAAAAAAGCCCTAGTATTTTATTAACAATTTGAAACAAGAGCTCTATTATTCATTTAATATTACGCTATTTTCTGATCTATGTTGTTACAACACTGTTTCCTCATCAAAAGCATATCTTGAATTTTTGTTTAACAGACAAACCTTGCATATTTGGGCTGAGATCTTTACTCAATACAGGAGGTGCTGTGTTCTTAAACTCCTTCACTACAATCATTATGATACAGACCTGGAATTGCCAATCTACTGAACTAAAGGTAAAAGGTAGCTGTTAACTTGAAAACTACTATTTCATGACATCACAAGGTGGAACAGAGCATTTTGAGCTTTGGAGATGTAGACAAACTAATACAGGATTACTCAAATATGTGTGAATGAAACAAAACACTAGGTATGTTTTTGATGAGGTAACAGTATTATAACATGGCTTGAATCTCATAAGGATACATTTTGTGTAATATAGAACCTTTAACATTTGATTTGCCCAGCCCAGGTGAACTTTCCTACTCACTGTAATATTAAGGTAAGCGGCAGCTCGGTTTGCGTAGAGCTTCTCGATGAGGCCAGTGCAGACACATATATCTTCAGAATCGGCATAATCAGCCACACTCAGTGCTTCGGTGTACATCTCTATAGCTTTGGCCCATTCTCCTTCTTTGTACACGTCATTTCCTTCTCCAAAAAGGTTCCACACAAGATCCTTGATAAAAATCTGGAAGGAAAGTTTATTTATTTATTTAGTGAATAAAAAAAATACAAAGACAGAAACACGCTATCAAGCAAAGAAATTACAATACAATACAAACTATTAAGCTTAAAGTGCCTATGACAGGTTAGACTACTCATTTAATTAAAACTCAGTTAAGCTCTTTATATTAAAGATTTTTGCAGAAACCTTCACACTCGTTTTCCCAGTTGTTTTAGGTTTTAGCATTTTATTTTCTCGTTGGAAATTATGAAATCACACCAAGTAATTCCATAACCGTTACCTAACAAAACTCCTTTAATGTACACATAAATTATCTGACAAAAACAAACATGAGAAAATGTTCTTTTGTGTAAATTGTGCCTAACTTTTGGACAGAATTCTCCCTAGTGTGATGTGATTGTTTTGGAACGCTACTTCCTGTAATTTTCAACGTATTACAGGATTACATTTATTTACATTACATTTACTGGAGGTAGATGAGTTCTAAAAAGGATTCCCTCCATCTATGTCATCAATACACAAAATGCAGAAGGAAGTTATGGAATTACCTCGGTGTATGTAATATCTGCTGCCCGTGTCCGTCCAGGAAGTGAAATTATGAACGTCACCAAAATATTCAAATTAGGGAAAACTAGGTACAACCTTTACAATCTTAAATATATTTATGTTAACAACTGTTTAGTGAATTTAATAAATGAAGTTTAACCTGTCATATGCACTTTTTTGCTGAGAAAGTGACACCTCCTTCATTTAATATTTTTTAAAGAGTCACAACACAAATCAGGTGAACCACAAAATTCAAATGAGCATTGCATTACCTCATACTGGTCTGAGCTACCAGGAAACGGCAAAGTTGATCTACAAGACAGAGGAGGAAATAATGATTATAAATATAGAAAAATACATACGATAGTTGATTCCATTTGACATGGATAAAAGATATTTGGTATACAGTCAGTATACTCAACAGTTGCTAGAGGAAAAACTGTTTAAAGCACAGCTCTGCAAATAACCTTGGCAAATGCTGCACTACACTGCTAAATATTTATAATGCAATTCCTTCTCAAGGTCACTGCAATAGTGTTAATAGGGGGTCAAACAATTACAATGAGCTCTCTCTAGCCATTTTCTGTTCCCCATTGATACACTATTAAAACCAATTTCGTGAGCAACTGGACAGTAAAACTTTAGGGGAAAAATTCAATTGTGATTTTCCTTATTGTGATTTGACTTGATTTACGTCTTTTCAAATCAAGATTTGAAAACATCAGTTCAGCTAGATTCAAACTGTGATCAACCAAACTCAATGTCTTGTATGCTTGGTGGCAATAAATCCATGTCAACTTAAGTATAAACCACAATCCAGGCATTCTTTATGAAATGATGAGTAATAGATCTTTTATGTACACTAGCAGCACAATGCATTATGTAGCAGCCTTTGTGATAAACTGTTCGGGAAGAATGCAGGATAAAGGCCTAACACTGAATCAGCTGTGGTATCCTGGCAACTGTGCAGATCAACAACAAAAAAACCATGATGTAAGTCAATCACATCATTGTTGCATCACGAATTTGGGCTGGCCTTCTTCAAACAAGAAATCCGGCTTTAAACAAATACATGTTTAAAACAGCACAGTTGTGGCAGTGTATCAAAGCCAGGGCACACTTTTCACTATTGCAAAAGTTAACAGTTCATTTTTGACCCGAGTCTACAGGTGTTGTGTCATTTTGCAAGACACTACACCAGATTAGCCTCTTGCATCTGAGTACCCATTGACACTGTATTGTTTGTCAGTGTATTTGCCAGTGTGCATACAAGATAGGGCTGTGTCAAAACTTGTATCAAAACTAGATACATATTTGATTTTTTTTTTTTTTTTTTAATCGATACAGAAACAACAACAACAACAAAAAAAATCACATGAATAGCAAAAGCTTGGATCATTTCTGAAATAGAGGGTCTTATAGGTCTTCTATGAGATCACATGGTAATAACACAATAACATTACAATGATTTGGTGTCAAAAAGCATATTCAATAGTCTAAAAAAGAGTGTTTTTATTTATTTATTTTTTAACCATCATTACAGTATCGATCGCAATATTTTACATCGCTATGCACCAGTACTTTGGAAACTGTGTTGTTTATAAAATGTGCTATACAAATAAAGTTGGATTGAATTGGAAATTGATACTGGGTACCTGTGGGCCTATGGGTTCAGTTGGTGTGCTCAAATGCATGTTCATTCGCTTAGACTGACCAGACAAAATAAACAAATAGGGTCAACATGTGTTTGTGTTACTTACTCAATAAACTGAAGGCCTTTCTGAATCTCCTGCCAGCGGCTCCTTCTGTCCTGACATGCTCCGGACATGTTTACGTGCTTTAATGTTAAACTCCAGTCAATACCTGTAATTATGATAATACTTTAAATTAACATCACGGATTTACATATAAGGTCAATACTGGCGCACATCACATCATACACCAAAAAGGTCTTCTTAATGTAACCATAAAAGTCTTCCCCCCTAGAGTATACAGTATATTGTAGTATTCAACTGGAAAAATATGAAAAACAATACCACAAAGTTTGGAGGAAATTCTAAGTATAGCTCCACAATTTGCAATGTACTATGGATGACTTCTGCTTTCTTTTGGACAATAGAAAAGCAAAAGGTGATTCAAAATTAAACAGCATGTATTTGTAAGTCAAAAAAAATAATATGGTTATTAGATATCTATAACAAGTCTACGATGCCCGTATTCAACCAGTTCTTTACAGTTCTACAATACGTATTTTAGCACGTCCCTTCCCGGAAACGATGTGATCTTTTACAGCAAGTCAATAAGTCAATGTTAATATCATATAAAGACGGAAAGATAGACACATTTAATATTGGCAGACACATAATACAGCCCCTACAGCTCATATGGAAAGCTTATTTTAGGCGGTAGCACTGATGTCACATGAAACAAGATGACACCACTCTAAAAAGCTTGTCTTACGTCCGTATTGACACTTACGTACATGGACGTGCTTTCCATACTTAGTAAACTTGAGACTCTACATTATAATTCACAAAAATCCTGAATATTTGCCTTGTAATTTGAGAAAATTAGAATATATGGCATGTCCGATAATGGGAGCGGGACATTTAGCACACGTGTGTTAACCGCGGACCACCGAGAGAGCTAGCCGATGGCGCTACATCTCACTTTGCGCAATATAGCGGCGGTAAATTTACACAAGTGTATGAAAATGAATGATAAATATATGTATTGATCCGGGGACAACACGCGGACACGTTCTTGTTCATGTCGTGACGCAAATAAGTTTCTAGGAAGTGGAGTGAGCTCAACAAAGCGGAGGTATGTACAACTTGAAGTAGTTCCCCAACGCAAACAATAGCGCATAGAGATGTATGGACCCTGGCACTGTACACCCATCTCACCCGGGACAACAGCGCCCCTGATCGTACTCACATGAATGGATCTTGCCCCCAAACAAACCGCGTCTCGGTTTAATAAAAGCAGGGGAATAGTTTGTTTCGTTTAAGCTAAAATAAGTTGCTAAATGAAGGCCGCCCTTTGTGTCTTCTTCTGTTTCTATTTACCGGGAGATGGCGTATGGCTGACTGCCGCACTCTGCCCTCTGCTGACTGTGGGTGGACACGGCAACTCCAGCACGGTCAAAAAGTATGTTTTATTTTAAGAAAAAATATGTACTAAGCGTAACATCATACTATTTTTAAAATAAATGTATAATATAATAATTATGTAGGGTTTTGAAAGCTATTTTACTGGATACAAATGATGCCTAAAGGCGTCCAGTATTATTTATTTAATTGTTTTACATTACACTCATGTTTTATTAATTATTTTGGTAATCTTATGAAGGCGCATTACCAGCAGATTTACTAAGTTGGTGGTGACAAATTTGTAGTGTAATGCCGAAAGAATGCCACTAAGAGGCGCCAACGGACTATGTATAATAGCAATCACTTTTGCTCTAGAGACAATTGTATTTTATGTTTCAGTTGCTATTGTGCAAAAGGAAAAAAAAAGAAGAAAAAAAAACAGATCTGTACTGCGGTTCTTTGGAGCTCCCAAATGTTTATTTTAATGACAACACAATGTGACGTTTCAGGGTCAAGTCCTTCTTCAGAGTGTTGCTATTGTGGTCAACATTAATTAAGCAAGAGAAAGTTGAGAGTGTCCATAACAAAACAAAACATAACATTCAGAACATTGTTAAAACCTGCTCGAAAATCACAGGGGTGAAACTGAGGGACCTGCACTCTTTGTGGGAGGAGCAAATGCTGAGCAAAGCCAAGTGTATCCTGGCTCAGCCCCTCCATCCTCTGGCTCCTGATTTTATCCTGATGCCTTCAGGGCGTCGGTTTTATGCTCCGATACGAAAGATTAACTGGTTCTCTAATTCTTTTGTGCCCTGTGCTATAAAGTTGTTAAATGTAAAGGGTACAGTTTTCTGAATGTTTTGAACTGTAATTTGGAGTTTATTATTGAGTTCCACTGGTGGATTCTAACGGACTGATACACTTCGTGTTTGTTGTGTTTGTGTGTGTGAGAAGTGAGAACTGCTCTGAGATGCTGCTAATGAATAGCCTTATGGGATCAATAAAGTTTTCTGAACCTGAATCTGAATAACACAAATAATAAGATGACTGTCTGCTTTTTGGCCAGTCAACCACATTTTCTCTGTGAACTGTTTTCTTTAATTTTATAGGAAGACTTGGCAAAACAATGTCTATTATTCTTAGACCATTTGAATAACAGTAATCTCTAGGGATTAATAAAGTGTTGTCTATACATTGCTTGTCAACCAGATAGGCCTACAATTGCGCATGCTTTACATAAATTGTACTCGCATATAAGTATTTGGGTCTGTCCCCGCTAGAGGGCGCTTCCGTTTACAAACACTGGATTGGGCAGTAGCCATCAGTGATGTCTTAGGAGCTTATTGAGAGAGCATCTAAAAAAAGCTCTCCTTGCTTTGCTCCTCTCACATCGTGTTTAACTTTCTTGGAGAGAGGTTTGATTCAGGTGCACAGCTTGTTGCATGCCATGACTTCACTTAATGGGATATTGTTGTTATTATTTGGTAAGTAACTTAATTTGATTTTGTGGATACTTTTATTATTATAGCTCATGCTTTTTAGTCGTGAAGCAAGCTTAAATTAATAAAATACAGCATTAGAAGTCAACACTAAAATACTGTATACAGTTGTTTTCCTTCTTTTTGGTTTAATTCCCATAGCAGCAGGAGACACAGGGGACTTGGCTGTGTTTGCCTTATCTTGAGCAAACATTTCTTAACACGAATTTAAAAATTGGAAACCGGAACCTAGACCTTTTTCCATGTGTGTTCTTAAGGTGTGGACAGCCGTAAAGCAAAAGTACTTTGTCACTACACAATATTAAGTGTTTTTTTTTTTTTTTTTACTTTAATACACATTTAATTGAAGGGACTATGGCTTCATTTCGTCTAAGACTCAAATACTTAAATCTGGTTTGATAACATTTAAATTCCTTCAGCATTTTTGTTACTGTCAAAATCAGAGCCTACCTTTAATTTTAAACAAAATGGACACAATATACATCGATTTAATGCTTAAGACCTACCTTAACCCAGGAACATTTTGTTCAGTAGTAACTAGTTCTTCCACTGCTGATACTGCTATAGTGTATGAATGTATGGTATGCTTATGTTTTTTTATCAGCTATCTACAAAGAAAACGAAAGCCCTACCAGAACCAACAAGAACAGACTGTTAAACATTCATTGGCAAGGCGAAGTACAGGTCATTTATCTTGACCTTAAAAAGAAGAAAATTAATACTTTGCAGGAGACATCAGTGCATAACCAAATTTGAACTAAACCTTAGATTAAATCAGGTCTAATCTAGGACTATAGCAGGTACAAAAACAGCGTCTTGAAGTTCCCAGTTAGATATTATGATGTTGTTGCTTTACAGTGTCAGTGGGCTCCATGACGACACAGAGGTCTCACAGGAGTAAGCGTGGTTTGCTGGAGCTGGCCGGGGCCATCAAATGCAGCACTGGGAGGTCAGCCTTGTCCTACATGATGTACGGCTGCTACTGTGGCCTAGGAGGGAACGGCTGGCCTAGGGATGAAGCAGACTGGTAATGCACTGATTACTTGTGCCATTATTACAAAACACAGTGGTTTTACACAAACTCTCACGTCAGCACAGTTTATAGGAATGGAACAAGTCAAAATACCCATTAGATAAATCATGAGACTGAGTCAAGATGAGATTTTGTCATGATATAACATGAATACATTGTGTGGTTTAGTTCACAATTTTGTATTTATTTCATTTTATTTTATACTTTTGGTTTAATTGTTGCACTGTTGCTGCTTCTTCAAAAGGTGTCCTTTCCAAAGTTAACTCTTTTTATTGTCTAAGCTAAATGTAAATATGCACTATTTTTTTCTCATGTGTGCACAGTCTTGAGGCACTTTTATCTTGCAAGCATGATTTTGTAGCATGAAATATTGTACTAGAGTTGGTATTTTGCAAATTCAATAGCATTATATGTCAAAAAGTATATGACAATTGTTCAGAGCCTAGATCATAATTTGGATTTTATCACGATTTGCACTGTTGTGTCTTTATATCCCATTAAAAAGGGTAACTACAGCCACCGTCTTCGTTGAAGAATTCACACTTCATTGTAATTGGTTAGATCCACCTGTCACTCACTATGACATGGCATGAAGAGAACGACATTTGAACACCTTAGCATTGGTACTGTCCTTTTTTCATCTTAACTACATAGGCTATATGGATAACACTAATCCAACCCTGATTTCTATAAAATATCCTGGTTGCAAGTGAGAGGTAATGTGAAATTAGGCTAAAACGATAGCTGCTACCGTTCAGAACTTCATGCATCTTACGATTTGGGAATGTAAATGATCAGAACCAGTCTGGAGAAGATGTATGGGCTAAAACACAGAAAACACTTTCTGAATTACTGCCTAATGATGTCACAGAGTGAGACCAAACACTTTTGAAGAGTAAAAGAACACCTGCATACACTGCAGTAACAACTTATTTATAACTGTACAGAGTTTGACCACTTCATCCTCTCTCTAGCCACAAATAACATGCCAGAATCATTAAACTGTATTTTAGGGGGAGTCACACCCCGTAAATGCAATAAAAACATTGAACTGGCATTTGAAGACCCACCTTTATAGTCTAGTAAAGCATGTACTTTCACTATTTTGTAAATGAGCTTTGAATAACGACTATTTTATGGAAACCAAGAACAAAATGATATGTTTAAACTTTAACTAATTCAAATTTAGAAATGTATTTGCATAGCATCTTTGACATTCTGGGGATAAGTAGGATGTTAGCAATAGCAGTTTGTAGTATTAGTAGTAGCAGAAGGACTAGTTCGAGTCCTAATCCTGGTCAAACCTACTTTACTGAAAACTTACAATATTTTTGCATGAATACTTGCTTGAATAGCTCTGCTCTTTACCATGTGGATGTCCGAATGGTATATCATAGTGTTTTGGTGGGAATCACGTCTCACCACTGTAGCGGATGTAAACAGGCAGTTGGCACTTCTAGGATCCACCTATCCATTATGAAGTAAACCGTGTAATTTTACTCTCTCATAGTAAGTCCTTCGATCTACACCATTTCCCCCTCCCTTTAAGTCTTGTTTACACACTTTCTTTGGGTCGTAAAAAGTCCTGCAGCAGTCTAAAATCAACCTTCAGTGGGATATTTTAAAACATCCTATGATTCTCTACTAATTACCATCTCTTTCTTTTCCTCTCTCGCCCACAAAACAGACACCAAAGCCTTCCAAAACCAAGTGCTAACCATGTGTTATGAAAACTGCTGCTCGGAGACTCCAACTCCTTTAAAATAGCTGTGGTGTGATTTTGAGCAACCCAATGTGACTATCCTCCTCCTTGACCCCGTCTGGAAAAAGGGTCACGCTGCCACTGTGAAATAATAGGATTCTTGTGTGTTCCCCATATGTCTGAATTTAGGTGTTGCCACAAACATGATTGCTGTTATGGAGAGGCTGAAGCATACGGCTGCGGTACCAAAACAAGGGGCTATCACTGGAGCTGTGAGGACAGGAAAGCTGAATGTGGTAAATTATCTGCCATTTACTTTATCTTTACTCAGTTTTTTTTTTTTTTTTTTCTGTAACATTAACTTTTTTATACTTAAGTCTTGAAACATATCCAAATTCTAGTAGAGACAGAGAGGGCAGATAGACTTGTTATCACATCAGCTGTCAGAATGAAATCTCGAGTACAGGCTAATATTTTCTTTGGGTCGATCTGTTAAAAAATACACTGCAAAAACTAAAATCTATCTAAATTAAGATTATTTGAATCAAGAAAGTTTTATCATGATTTGAGTAAATTTCACTTGACAAGTAAAATGGTCTATTAATGGAATAACATTTTTAGTACTTTTGTACTCAATTCCATTATTTCATCAGCAGATAATTTTACTTGTCAAGTTTAATTTACTGAAATAAAGTAAAATGTTCTTAATTTAAGTTATTTTAACTTATGGTAACTAGATATTGCTTTTTGCAATGTACACACAAAGCTTTACTTAAGAATTTAGTGCAAAGAGATAATTGTTTAAAACATGACAACACAGCTTTCTTAAAAAAAGGAGCTGTGGGTGAGTTTGTAGTCAATTTAAATTGCATAATTTGGGGAAAAAAATCAAAGTTGGTTTCTCTGTATTCTAAACAATCATTATCTGTACTGGCCATGAAAAAAACATATCAGTCGATCTCAAATTTCTACCAATTACAGGTTATTAAAGTAACTATGTCACTGTCCTATTCAGGAATTCACCACCTCCATGAAGATGTTTTTTGCTTGGCTTGGAAAGTTCCACATTATGGCATTACACATCCATCATTCATTTATTAAATCACAGGTGTTTTTAATGTGAAAATTTGCTTGAAAAACATACATACATCCTCACCACAGATCTGGAAATGTTTTTTTAGTGTTGGAAAGTAACATATTTATCAAGCTTTCTAACTACACCAAGATATTTCTGCAGAAACCCCAGAAGGATGAATGAATGTAATGTACACATTAAGTATGTACACTGTAAACAGCTGCCCATGGGAGGTTCTTGGGAAAGTTAACACAAGTCCACTGACCTCTGTGCATTCATCCAATCACACATCAAGGGTGTGTCACTAATGATTACAGCAACATATCTATACCATGTGAATCATTTTCTGTTGCAAACTTTACTTTATTAGAAAACGTTTTCAGATTCTTGACAAGGGATGTTACAATATCAAATTTTAGTGTTACAATTACTGGGAGAAAAAAACAATGTGATACCATGACCAAAACAACTATGAAATCAACATTTTATTCAACATATATTTGCTTCTGAAATGGTTGCAACTCTTATTTTTTGCCCTTACCATTATATTGTGACCTGCAAAATCACAGCTACTGATTAAAATTTTGCCAAATAATCCTGAAACCTCCTAACCTTGACATTCTGGCATTGAATAACAAAAAATGCAGTTGCCTGTGTTCATTTTTTCCTTGTCTTTTTTGCAGAGGACCCAAAGGACAAATGTGAAAAGATTCTGTGCAAATGCGACAGAGAGGTTGCAAAATGTTTAGGAAAAGCTCCGTTCATCAAGAAATATGCCATGTGGCCAGACTTTATGTGTGGACAAAAACAGCCTATGTGTAGTATTTACTGATGCAAAAAACCCAGCTACCTGAATACCATCTGTGCCTTTGTACAATGTACAGCAATAAATTCATGTCTTTTTTAATGATATGTTGTATTATCATTATATAACACTTATTCCTTATTTTTCAAAATGAAATTGTATTTAAGTTGTAGTGTTTAGTATGTAAGTTGTATTTTTTCATTGCTAATATTTACTTATAAAAGTTATTCTATGGGTTTCTTTCTTATATTATCAATAAAACAAAACGAAATTTGACTGTCTGAAGTATAATATATGGCTGCCAAAATCGAAAACCTGCAGTACTGCCTATGACCACAAGGGGTCACACTCTGGCACCAGACTGAAACAATGGAAAGAGCTGGAGGGGCAAGTGTGTAGATATTAATGTGGTTTTAAGCAAAAGGAAGCAAACCTATAATAGTCTACACTCTACAATGATAAGACAAGATTGTATTACATGGCAAAGAAGGGACATAATAATCGTTACACAGAGCACTACCTGTACATCTGACATTCAAAACCTGTTCTGAAAGGGAGCAGTAGGACCACTCTAAAATGCTACCTGCACAGATCACTACTCGCAATAACAAGCCAAATCTGCTGGTGAACAAAACAAACATAAAAAAGAATAGCAACATTAAGTCAAGTTACACATCAGATCTGTGGACAGGCAAGCCCACTCAGAAAGAACACTAGTTTTTAGGTCAGTAAAAACACATATTATCGAGCAAATGCAAAATGGATATGTATATGTATACCTACATTTCAGAGATAACAACATCTCAGTGGAGACAGCTGGTTCACTTGATTTAAGATATCGCTCACTGCAATGTTGTCTTCATATGAGTCACCAGACAACAACAAACGCAAGGCCATGGTGTCTGGAGAGAAAAAAATTAAATTAAGTTGATTGTTGATAACTCTGAAAAGCATAAACTAATATCTGAAATTTTGAGAGCTGACTTACTCCATTTGTGATTATGAAGCTGGTGGCAAGAAAAAATACAGAAATTTTGTGCTCAAATAGTTACGTGACTAAAAATGTACTCATTTACAGGTGCAAACCAAAATTCTACCTAATTTAAAATATACAGTATACGTGAAAAATTCTACTGAAAGTACTGACTGAAAGTGCTAATTGCAGTTTAGTACAGTTTAAAGCTGTTTTGAAGCACAGTTTGCATATTAGATGATTTTACCCAAACAAAGAAGTTAGTAATAGTAGTACAAAAAATCAACTCAATTACAGTAACATGAGTATTTAATCAGTCACTTCCCCCCTGGATATTATATACCTTTTGGAACATTGTGAAAACATTGATAAATTGTTTTACTGTTACTGTGGCTGTAATAAGAAACCTGGTCCAAAGTTCGTCAGAGGAAGTAAGAATCTGGGTCATGGCCCAGAGACACTTGTTTAATTGTGTCCAGATCTGAGGAGAGGTCATGGACTCTGCTCTGGACTAAATGGACACTTGTACTGGGGTAATGGTGTTTCATTACTTATGGGAAAATAACAAAAAGATAACCACTCATGAGATGTTTTGTTTTAAGAAAGCAAGTGTTCAAAGTGAAGGTATAGTATATATGTTAACACCAAATATCAATGGCTAACTAACAGTAAAAGTCAAAACAAGTGTTCATTACATCTCATTTAGAATTTATTAAATATTGAATTAGTAATACATTTTTGTCTATGGAAGTTTTTTGAGCCAGTATTTTCTTCATTTAGTACTCCTAATTATTATCCTAATTATTTATTATTGTTATGTCCCTAAACTTAAGAGTTATGCCATATACATTTTTAGGAAAGAAGTGTCTTCTTCTAGCACCAGCTCTGTCATTTTTTCTGTATTCTTAAAGGCTTTGCACCACAGACAATATTTTGGTTGAAAATATTGTTTACATCAAACATACATAAAGTTAAGAGCATTCATGCTTAAATATGTGAGTACAGACCTAAGCTCGTGCTTCAGATTGGTTACAGTGTCCATATAATTATTGTAATAAACTCTTCTTGAATTCAGAACTGCTCTGCCCACGTGAAAATCAATGTTTACGCAGCCTGCAGCTCACACTGACACGCTGCCAATAAACACTGTTACACCATCTATTGTGCCCCTTATTGTGGCGCTTCAACTGATAAATAAATATAGGCTTCAGTAAAATATGTTTGTATGAGTTTTAAAAGGCAAATTCAAGAGTCTAATTTGCTTAAATGTCAAATTAGGTGAGGTCTGTTCACAGCATCTGCCTCATTAGCCCTGAAGTTGGAGGCAGAAAAAAATGCAGTTTAAGCATAAAATGTGAACTGCAGCGTGAGTGGAAAGTGAGCAGAAGCTGTGAAAGTCAAACTATGTTGAGGGAACCTGTTAGTTGCTTTTGTTGAAAAATAGTAAATTGTAACTAATGGCCACATATGTGAGACTTGGACATAAAGAAAATGCAAAGTTCTCACATTTCACAACAAAGAAAGATTAATATAATAAGCCTAATTAACATTGGCCAAGGTCTAGAATTCATTGTGTAAGCTCTATGACCATATTCTAAGTGTTCATCATCATTAATGTATACAGGTAACACAGTTACACTGATGACATAGCATCAAATCTGCTGATAATGCAGAGGGGGGCCACAGCTGCTCCAGTCTTTAGCTGTAGCCTACACAGCAAATTCAAGAGTGTTAATTCAACTCCTATATTGTTAATTTTTAACACTTTTACCATGTCATATGGGGTCCACAATAAAATGAGTTAAAACAACACTTTCCAAAGTGTAGAAGGCTCAACACTGGTAAAGTGATGTAACCACACTCCTCATGGTTGAATTTGACACTGATAAAGATTAGATTTTTTTTTACACTAGTGAATAGTGAAAAACTAATAACGCTATATTGCTATGTTTTAACACTTTATGAAGTAGAAATAGTGTAGGTGTTCTTCATGTTACACTATTCAATAGTAACTCTTTCTTCACTAAATACAGTGTACAGACAAAATTGTTGATACCCCTCTGGTAAGGACAGAAAAATCAACAATGGTCATTGAAATTACTTGAAACTAAGAAAAGCAATAATAAAAAAAAAAAAAAAAAAATCCTAACAAATAACAATGAAAATGAAAATGAAAATTCATTCATTGTGCTGTTTGGAGACATGATGGAGACAACACTTAACATGGAGCAGTGAAAGCGAAGAGAACTGTGTCAGGACTAGAAAGAAAATGATAGACATGCAGGTTAAAGATAAAGGCCATAAGACCATCTCCAAGCAGCTTAATGTTACTGTGATTGCAGTTACACATGTTCTTCAGAAGTTTAAGGTCCACAGGACTGTAGTCAACCTCCATGACGTGGCTGCAAGAGGAAAATTTATGACAAATTGAAGAGATGGGTCATACAAATGGTAACCAAAGAGCTCAGAACAACCTCCAAAGAAACTAAATGTGAAGTCGAAGGGCGAGGTACATCAGTATCAGATAGCACCATCCGTTACTGTTTGAGCCAAAGTGGACTTCATGCTGTTGAGAGCAAATCATAAAAAAGTAAGACTGGAATTTGTCACAATGCATATTGACAAGACACAAAGCTTCTGGAAGAATGTCCTTTGGACAGATGAGACAAAACTGGAGCTCTTTGACAAGGCACATCAGCTCGATGTTCACAGACGCAAAAATGAAGCAGACCAAGAAAAGAACACTCTTCCTACTGTGAAGCATGGAGGAGGCTTGGTTATGTTCTGGGGCTGTTTTGCTGCATCTGGCACAGGGTGTCTTGAATCTGTGCAAGGTACAACAAAATCTCAAAACTATCAAGGTATTTTGGCATGAAATGTGTTGCCTAGTGTCAGAAAGCTTGGTCTCAGTTGTAGGTCATGGGTCTTCCAACAGGACAAGGACCCAAAGAACAAAACATTGGACTGTTCTGAAGTGTTATTCTGTGAGCCCAGATCTCAGTCCTACTGAACATCTGTGAAATGAGCTGAAACATGCTGTGTGGAGAAGGCACCCTTCAAACCTGAGACAACTGAAGCATTTTGCTCATGAGAAATGGGTCAAAATACCTGTCGACCAGTGCAGAAGTCTCATTGACAGTTACAGAAATCATTTGTTTGCAGAGTTTGCTTCAAAAGGTTGTGCTTCAAAATATTAAGTTAAGGGTACCATCATTTTTGTCCATGCCACTTTCATGATTTTGTTTTTTCTAATGATTCTGTTGAATCACAGGTGAAAAACAATGTTTGATTTTGTTGTTTGACAGTAGTTTATTTTTTTAAAGTTGATTTTTCAATGCAAGCAGTCGATGGATGAATCAAGATCTTGCTAAATGGAATTCAGGCATGTTCATCTCCAAAAATGAGAGGAGCATGTCTGACTGTTTGAAACAAGATCTTTTCTCCATTATATAAACATAACAATGTTCACAATAGTTCATGTTGTAGACAGTTCTTTAAATACAGGTGAAAAGTTTGTGCCACTTCAGTCGCAGGTAGAAAGGCCGTCCAGGCTCAACCAGCAAGAAATGTGTCCACACCAATCTGTAAAATAAAATACAGAATAGAATAAATATAACATATTCAAGTAACCATCTTGCAAAACAGGCTATGCAATATTTAATGAGCCATGAATAAAAATTTAAAAGTAGATATATTATGGTGCATATATCATTATTTGTTAATTCTTATTAAGCAGGTTATTCTGTTGCATGAGATGTATGTTTTTGGATACAGGAACCATTCAAATAAATAACTTGAAGGGTAATTTGAAAAAATGTAGCCCCTTAGAAAAGATCATTTTTAAATGCAAGACCCACAAGAAACAAAACACCTAAATGCCATTAATCACAAAATATATTGAGATGAAGGCAAAAATTACAATTACTTAGCACAAATATAAAATTAAATTAGTCAATTACGAAATTATTGGTGAGGTTACATTTCAGTTCTACATTTAACCATTTCATGACATACCTGCAAATCTTTGACAATATGGTTAATGGCTTGAGCCTTCATCTTTCCACTGTAGCCTTTAGGAGCTGGAGATGCATGTGAACCAGCAGCAAGACACTCACCCTAAAGAAAATACAAAAAAAGAATGTATCATTACTCTTTTTGTCTAAAGGTCAATAGTATGTTAAGACATTG